AGCATCCTAGATCCCTCGCCTGCACAGTTCACGATAGGGTTCGCGTGCCTATGAGAATCTAATGCTGCGGCTGAAATGGCAGGAGGTAGAGCTCAGGCAGTGATGCCTGCTCATTGGCTGCTCACCTCCTGCTGTGTGGCCCAGTTGCTAACAGGCAACGGATGGATACTGGTCCGCAGCCTGTGGTTCGGGACCCCTGCTCTAGATTATGGGGAAGCCGAAGTACTATTTTCTCATTATAAAAACAGAATCCTACCTTTTACTTCTCACCTCTTCCTGTTAATGGAAGTTGGAATGGAGAAGGAAGGAGATGCCAGGGAAAGGAAGCATTTTAAAATCATTTGTAACATGTAACTCCAGGGTACTTCAGAGTTTTAAAGAATAAATAGGGAATAAATTTGTTTAATTACCTTTTTAGATCCAGGATTAGGTGCCACTTGCAGGCCAAAATCTAATCTGGAAACCAAATGAGTTACAAAGTTTGGGTGCTTTTCTGTAAAAACAAGGAAGCAGTTTATTTGTATACTTTTGTGTCTTGTGCCATTCTGTTGGAAAAGGGCGGAGGAAATACATACTTTCATATGCTACAGGATAGCTCTGAGATGCAAAAGTATCTCTAATTGCTTAGGGGAGAAGGGTATTACTGGAAAGATGGGGTGGGTGACTTTTCGTAGTATAACCTTTGTGAGATTTTAGTGCTTTACTGTATGCACATGATAACTATTCAAAAAAACAAGCCCGTTTTTTGGACCCTAGTTTACTGACTCCATATTCTTGTAACAGCAAAATTAGAATTCTTTTAAGCTAAAAAAAACTTTATCATAGGAATTTCCAAGCATGTCTTAAAATAGGATATCCCCAGCTTCAACACTAATGGCATTTTGCAGATTGAGAGGATAATAAAATGTAGCTGTAGTTTGGATACTACATGTATCCAGATATACTACATGTATTTCAGATATGTCCTCTGAAAATACCTGCAAATTTATAGAGAATGTTGGGTATGTCCTTTGACTTTATCCGTGCTTAGTTCCATAGTCTATAATTCAGTTTCTGATTGGGCACAGTGGTTCATACCTGTAATCCCAACACTGGGAGGTCGAGGTGGGAGGATTGCTTGAGCCCAGGAGTTCGAGACCAGCCTGGGTAACATAGGGAGAACCTGTCTCTAAAAAAAAAAAAATTAGCCAGGCATGGTGGCACCTGTAGTCTCAGGTACTGAGGAGGTTGAAGTAGGAAGATCACTTGATCCTGGAGGGTTGAGGCTTTAGTGGTACCACTGCACTCCAGCCTGGGCAATAAGGCGAGACCGTGTCTCAATAAATAAAGAATAAAAATACAGTTTTTGTGGTATAGTTTATATACCATCACACCTTTATAACTGACTGAGAATACTTTATGGTTAGTATGTGCTGTTTTGAAAATAAAACCTGTTTTAAAATGTGTTGCATTTTAAAAGTTTTAATCTATATTGATATTACTAGACATAGTTATATAGTTTGGCAACCCTGTTATATGTTCCTATTGTAAGGGTATACCTAAACCAGACTGGCAGTTAATGAGAGTGACTTGTCCTGTTATTGTGTGCTTTGGCATATTTCTCTTTTGAATATATAACAGGAAAATACGGGAAGAATTGCTGAGTGTTCTAAACATTCTCATTTGCAAGGAACATCAGTAAGGAAAACAATCTTACCTACCTTATTTGAAGAGGTGGAAGCAAATTTAACCTTCTGTTAGCCAGTAGGAATAGGTCTGTACTAAAAATACACAAATTAGCTGGGCATAGTGGTGCACACCTGTAGTCCCAGCTACTTGGGAGGCTGAGGCAGGAGAATCGCTTGAACTGGGGAGATAGAGGTTGCGGCGAGCCGAGATTGCGCCACTGCATTCCAGACTGGTGACAGAATGAGACTCAGTTTCAAAAAAAAAAACTTGAAACTTTAGAATTATGTTCATGTTTGCTGGTGTTTTAACTCAAACAGGGACAGAAATCCTAGGGAAGTAACCCATATCACTGTTTTTCTAATAACTGCATTCATAGTAGAATAACACTACATTCACTAGTAGAGGTTGAGGGAGAGAGGAAAAGAAGGAATTACATGTTACAGGATACTTTTCTGTTCTTGTCTAGACTGAGGCTGAGGCGGGTAGACCACGAGGTCGGGAGTTCGAGACCATCCTGGCCAACATGGTGAAACCCCATTTCTACTAAAATACAAAAAATTAGCTGGGTGCATTGGCGCACTCCTGTAGTTCCAGCTACTCAGGAGGCTGAGGCAGGAGAATCACTTGAACCCAGGAGGCGGAGATTGCAGTGAGCTGAGATCGAGCCACTATACTTCAGCCTGGTGACAGAGCAAGACTCCATCTCAAAAAAAAAAAGTTTGTCACTTTTCTCCTGTTTAATTTTGTGTTTTTTGAATAAAGGATTTATGTCTTTTCCACATGGATTGTTTTGAGTAGTACCAATACATTCCTGAAGGAGATCAAAAATATATATGCATAGCTCTCTTGGTAGCATGTGTTTGAGAAAGTAATATAAGGATTACATAGATTAGGGTTGCAGGCAGTTCTGTCCCTTTAAAGCTAGATCTTTTATTTACTTATTTTTTAAAGTTTTTGCAGAGATGGGGTCTCACTATGTTGCCCAGGCTGGTCTCAAACTCCTGGGCTCAAGTGATCCTCTCGTCTCAGCCTCCTGAAGTGCTGAGATTATAGGTGTGAACCAAGGTGCCAGGCCAAATCTTTGGTTTTTTTCCTACAAGTAAAACACCCTGAGGCTGAAGGTAATTGCTAACTGATGCAACGTGTTTTTCTTACTGCTTTTTTTCTGGGGATCTAACAAGGAATGGGAAACACAAGTTTTTGACTTTCGTTTTTCCTCCTCTTTATTTTCTGATAGTGTTTTCTTAAAGTCATCTTCCACCTGCCTCTGAAGTTGAGGAGTAGGAAGGAATCTGTTAGAATCATTTGGGGTTCAGTTAGTAGTGTCTGTGGTTAACTTTCTTTCATGGTTTTGAATTTAATTTCACTATTTGACTAACACTATTTTTACTCCGACTTCCTCAAACACTGTGGGACTTAAACTGTGACAGGTGAAACTCAGTGCCTTAGGTGAAGGCTTGGTAGAGACTTAGAAACATAGAATTCTTACAGGGTAGCTTAGGATTCTTACAGGATAACTTAATTGCTTTTAGGTTTATAGCTTTATGAACTTTATGAGCCCACTGGAATATTTTCTCCAATTATTGGAAAGGCTGATTATCAATTAAACTTAACGAGTCTAAGGACCCTCTACTCAGAAAAATAGATACGAGATCCTGTCTCAAAAGAAAAGTTAAAGTCAGGAAGAAGTTAAAATTAATGGTTTATAAGCCTTTACTATAAGTAAATGTAAGTTACATACTTTGAAGCTATTGTATTTGCCTTGCATTACAGCATATACTTGAGCTTGTAAAGCAGGTTAATCTTCTACTTTATTACGATGTTTGTAGTAATGGTTAGACAGTTGTTTGACTCCTTGCCCCTGTATTCAGTAACTGAGTTACTGTAACTACACTTTATAACTGAGTTACAACATTTATAACTCAATACCAGCAGTAATTGAGATAGAAGAGTGAAGAGAAAGTAAAATGTAGCCTTGTAGTCTTATATCTTACTCAGAGCCTGGCCTGGTTATGTTTAAGCACTATTAGCAGAAGAGTTTGACAAGAGAATTTAAATAAAATACAGTTAACTTGGCTGGTTTAGTCCATAAGATAATAGTGACAGTGGTGGTGTCTGTGGAGGGAAACTGTATTGCTAGAGGACAAGGGTGACAGAAAGACTGGATTTTTTTTTTCCCATGCTTTTTCTTTTCTGGGGTGGGTGTGTGTGTGTGTGTGTGTATTTTGTACCATGTGAATTTATTATATTATCCTTGGAGGAAAGGGGGATAAAACTAGTCTGGCCAAGGCTAATAAAATAAAGCCTCCATTGTACCTTCTTTTAGTAGGACTTAATCTGTTATACCATAGTTAGTCACCCAGAGTATTAATAACCCACTCTGGTAGAGATTTCCTCCTAGTAACTGGTGACTTTTGTTCTTACATGCTTAATTGGTTTGCAAAGACCTACCATCTTTAGATCCTCTATATTTGTTTAGCAGATACTTTAGTATTTTCTGAGTACACAAAGCAAATCTAATTCCATTATTTTCCTTGTTAAAATCCTTAAGTAGCTCCCTTTGCCTGTAGAATAAACTTAGGATTCTTACTGAGGTATGTTTAGCTTGTCAGTCTGGCCCTTGCTCATCTCTCTAACCTTAATTCTGTACTCCCTCAAGCCGATAGTGTTAGAAAAGTACTTGTAGTTCCCATAGCCAACCACACTTATACATCTCTGTGCTTTACCACATGCGCTTTCTATTGAGAATTATCTCGCCTGCCTCCCTTGAACACATTGCTTTAGCTGTGTAGCCTTTGACAAGATCCCTCTTACATATCTTTGTTTTGGCACTTTTTGCACAGAATTAGAACTTGTTTGCTCTTGCTATTCAAGTTCCTTTATTTAGATCAAGAACTCTGTGACATTTTAAATCTTTTTATGCTTGTAACTTAATTTTTCAGATTCTTGAAGCGTGAACAAATAACAGCTACATGTTAAGGGGGGTAAGAGAGGACTGGTCCAATAGTTCCAAGGTCTTAAAATAAATCAAGAAACTCAGTTACCTCAAATCGCTTGAACCATGAGTGCTGCCTTGCAGATATTGCTCTTTCCTTTAACTTCATCTGTATTTGTTCTACCTCTTATTTGAAACAGTTGAATGCCATGTTTGTTGGAAGAAGAGAAGGTCCAATACTTGGCTATTAATAGTCTCACTTTAATTAACATAATGTAGATGTTATTGTGACCTTGAAGCATTAATGTTAAGTGAGGATTTGTGTTGATGAGCATATATGAATGTCAACTCTTTGGAATACACTTGGTAACATTATTATATTTATTATATTTTCTAGCTCCAGAACCTGGGTATCAACCCAGCAAACATTGGCTTCAGTACCCTGACTATGGAGTCTGACAAATTCATCTGCATTAGAGAAAAAGTAGGAGAGCAGGCCCAGGTGGTAATCATTGATATGAATGACCCAAGTAATCCAATTCGAAGACCAATTTCAGCAGACAGCGCCATCATGAATCCAGCTAGCAAAGTAATTGCACTGAAAGGTATAAAAAATTGTCGGTTTTTCTTAAAACTCTTCCTGTTTGTTTTTTTGTTTGTTTGTTTTTTGTTTTTTTTTGAGACGGAGTTTTACTCTTGTCGCCCAGGCTGGAGTGCAATGGTGCGATCTTGGCTCACTGCAACCTCCGCCTCCCAGGTTCACGTGATTCTCTTGCCTCAGCCTCCCGAGTAGCTGGAATTACAGATGCCTGCCACCACCACTGGCTAGTTTTTTTGTATTTTTAGTAGAGATGAGGTTTCACTATTTTGGCCAGGCTAGTCTCAAACTCCTGACCTCATGATCTGCCTGCCTCGGCCTCCCAGAGTGCTGAGATTACAGGCGTGAGCCACCACGCCCAGCCAACTCTTCCTATGTATTTATGCAAGTGCAATAACTAGAGTTTACGTTTTTAAGTATATTGATTAAATTTGGTTAAAGAAGATTGATCTGCTGATACCGAACTTGATTTAAACCACTTTAATGACTTTTACTTGGAATGTATCTGTGGAATATCTTAACATAGATCTACTTAGAATAATTTTAAGTTTTAGAATAAATGCATTTATATTTTGTATCTGGTATAAGACTGTGCTAAACATATCTCTCTACAGAGGAAACAAATTAGTGATTCATATTCTGGAATAGAACATACTTTACTAATATTAGCACCTAAACATGGCAGAATTTTGTATGATAATAAACTTGCCTTTGATTCTGTGCTTTTTTTTGTACTTCAGGCTTGTGTTTCACTTAGATTATTGGGTTCTAGAAAGGGCTTGAATTTACAGTAATTGTTTAAAGTGTGTTTGTATTTAGGTGGATATTAAAGCTCTTGAGTGAAGTGTATTTGAGTTTATTCAGACTTTTTAATTGTCCCAACAAGGGAACTGTGCAGCTTAGAATAAACAGAGTTCAAAGACTCTTAGACTGTCAGAGAGCCTGTATTCCTTTGAACTTTAGGATGAGACTAATTGACCCGTTAAAACAGATGTTTTTAAGAGGGCTCGGTGAAAAACTGACTCTTGAAAAGGCATTTGATTGCCTATTTTTTGCTTTGTTTCTCATTTTGATAGAAGGAAGAAAAGTTCAAGTTCCCAGTAATTTCTTGATAAATTTGTGACTGAGTTGTTAGAGGTGCCGAACTTTGACTTTGCTTTACATGATTTAAACTTTGTATGTAGTAATAATACTAGTTGGAGAGTAAATAGGGTTGGGTAGGACTAGCATATTCAAACACATAAGTCACTATCACATATCTAAGATAGAAGCTCATCTCATCTCAAGGAAAAATCGTCCAGCTTTCACATGGGACCAGATGTTTTGTGACAGTAAGTGTTTTACTTCTGTTACTTCTATTTAGGGTATTAAGCTTCCTTCAGACTCTTTAAAGAATTTAAATTCAGGTCCTTAGCAGTTCCCATACCTCTCTGTTAAAAGGCCATAATTTTAATTTTGCCAAAATTCTTTTCTATTTTTAATGTTATTGTTATCTTATCACATTTCTTAACGCTTTCTTATGTGTGCAGATGGTGAGTTATCTTAAATTAGATTGTGTTAGTTATTGTCCTGTTCTATGAAAAGAATAAATTGAAAATATTTTCGGAGCATTGTACAATAGCATCATAGATTTGTCCCTATATGTCTGCACTATGGAGTCAAGCTGTCATCTCTTGTCCCCCTCCCCAAACCACTACACTTATATATATACTCCAATCCCGAATAATCTGGGGATTGAGGAAGGCAGCAAAGGAAAGTCAGTCAGTTCAAAATCCTGCTTCCCTCTGAAGCCAGTTTTGAACCTCTTGGCTTCTTTTTATAAACAGGACTGTAACTCTCACAATTTTTCAAGTCTGGTTGTGGTTTACATACTGTGTGGGATGGGAATAACATTCTTCATTTTATGAAAGAAATTTTTGCACGTGTGGTAAGGAGGGTTGTAGTACAAAGCTATATGTTTTGCCCCCCTTCTGTGTCGCCCCAGCACCTGAATCTTAAAATTTCGGTCCTTCAGGAGCCAGATTCTCTGTGTCTCAGGAATGGTGTTTTTCTTAGTCTTTAAAGACTAATCTTGATAGCCTAGTGATAGTTGTGGACTTTGGCCTCTATTAATTTATACCAAATCACATTTTGAACTGATGGATTTCAAATTACAAGTACAAGCCTTTGCATCTGACTTGGTGACTCTTAACACTCAAGGCAAATTTCATCCTTTTTTTTTAACTAAATCCTTGCTTTCTTAGTTGGATGAAGCTTGAACTTTGTTCTTACCTCCCGTATATTAACAGCATCTGAAACTATCCTCTTCCTTTGTCTCCCTTTCCTTTCCTCCAGCACCTCTACCTTCCCTTTGTTATCTTAAGCCAGTTAAATGTAGCATGCATTTCTTTTATGTGCTAGTGGCAACAAGACAGAATTGAAGCAGATCCTCTTTGTAAAAAGCAGTTTCCACAAGATTTATTTGGATGAGAGATGACTGCTTTTAAAAAAGTACATTTTCTTTCCCCTACGTGTTTGTTATCAGAGTTGCTTTGTCTTGTGTCGATGCAACTAAGTTTATGTGTAAACATACTTAATTACAAGTATGAAGTTAACGGCTTTGTTTTCAATTATTGTTAAGAAAACTATTCATTAGACTTACTTTAAGTTGGGATTTAGAATTCCATGGAAGTCATACTGTTTAAAGTGTGTTTATTAGCGATAATACAGTTTTTGCTTAAAATGTAGATGTAGATTGCTTAGTCTTAGCTGTTACCTCTTTAATGGTTGCTGCTGTATTGATGCAACTCCTGTAGTTATTAGTCTCGTAATAGAAATATTTTTGTTTGGAAGTTACAGAGCTAGTCTAGGTAGGTATTCATTCTAAACTTTACGCTTTTAATGATTTATAATTCTTGATTTTGTTTTTAGCTGGGAAAACTCTTCAGATTTTTAACATTGAAATGAAAAGTAAAATGAAGGCTCATACTATGACTGATGATGTCACCTTTTGGAAATGGATCTCTTTGAATACGGTTGCTCTTGTTACCGATAATGCAGTTTATCACTGGAGTATGGAAGGAGAGTCTCAGCCAGTGAAAATGTTTGATCGCCATTCTAGCCTTGCAGGGTGCCAGATTATCAATTACCGTACAGATGCAAAACAAAAGTGGTTACTTCTGACTGGTATATCTGCACAGGTAACATTTTAACTAGTTTTTTATAAAGAAGAGGTTTAGAAAACTGTGGTGCCCAGAATGCAGTTTTATTTTGAGATTAGGTCTTTCTATACTCAATCCTGTTGAATTTCACTTATTTTGGAAGACCTTTTTTTTCCTCCCTCACACCCCTTCTCTTCTCCTTCCTCCCTCCTTCCCTCCTTTCTTCCTTCCTCGCTCCCTTGCTATACTGACATATAATTTCAGAATGCTCTTATCAAGCGTTTTGAGCTCTTCTGTGGAGATTGAGTAGAAATTGAGTTTCTGTAAGAATGATTTGGGAGGCCGGGCGCGGTGGCTCACGCCTGTAATCCCTGCACTTTGGGAGGCCGAGGCGGGCGGATCATGAGGTCAGGAGATCGAGACCATCCTGGCTAACACGGTGAAACCCCGTCTCTACTAAAATACAAAAAATTAGCCGGGCGCAGTGGCGGGCGCCTGTAGTCCCAGCTACTCGGGAGGCTGAGGCAGGAGAATGGCGTGAACCCGGGAGGCGGTGCTTGCAGTGAGCCGAGATGGTGCCACTGCACTCCAGCCTGGGCGACAGAGTGAAGACTCCGCCTCAAAAAAAAAAAAGAATGATTTGGGATTTATTATGGAGTATTTACTGCAAAATGAATGCTTCTGTACCTTTTTGTTTAAGACGTGTATGAGGCACATGTTAAACATTAATGTTAAGCTTTAACAAGATAATGTTTGGGGCTGATTTTAAGTTAAGAAGTATCAAATCTATATTGAGAGATGAAGTCACAAATAATTATAAATCCTGCTAAAGATGACAAAGCATTCTAGTTATTTCATTACTTGATGAATCTGAGAGTTTTTGGTTTATGGGTCTCCAAACATTATTCTCTTTGATCCTTTATAGCAAAATCGTGTGGTGGGAGCTATGCAGCTATATTCTGTAGATAGGAAAGTGTCTCAGCCCATTGAAGGACATGCAGCTAGCTTCGCACAGTTTAAGATGGAAGGAAATGCAGAAGAATCAACATTATTTTGTTTTGCAGTACGGGGCCAAGCTGGAGGGAAGGTAAGTTTTGACTTTGGTAATTATTTTAATGAGAACTTGTATTTGACTTTCTGCTACGAATTAGTCATCTAATTTCAAAATAGCCTTCTCCTTTCCTAAGTAATTTATTTTTAGTATTCACATTTGTGGTGACTTAATTTGTTCAAATTTTGCATCTAGTGATACTTGTCTAAAATGAATAATGTTCTTTCACAACTCGTTCTATTGGCTGTTTATATTCTTTATTTTGATTGCCAAAGTGCACATTTATATGCTGTACATCTAGAGAGTTTGATTTAGTAGGTGGTGCCAATAGTGTTTTTTTGTTTATTTTTTGCTTTTTGAGACAGGGTGTCACTCTGCTGCCTAGGCTGGAGTGCAGTAGCGCAGTCATGGGCTCACTGCAGCCTCGATCTTCTGGGCTCAAGTGATACCTCTGTCTCAGCCTCCCAAGTAGCTGGGACTACAGGCACGTGCCACCATGCCTGGCTAAATTTGGTGTTTTTGTAGAGACAGGGTCTCACTATATTGCCCAGGCTGGTCTCAAACCTCTGGGTCCAAGTGATCCTCCCACCTTGGTCTCCTAGTATAATCTGCATTTTAAATACCCTATATGGCTTGATATAGAGGTAATGTAGACTATAGTTGAATAACATTGCCATAAGTTAGTGGTTTTCAGCGGTGGCTACACATTGGAATCACCTGGACAAATTGTACTTTGTGTATTAGACTTAGTTGCAGGTAATAGAAACAAGGTCTGGTTGATTGGAGCAATGGTCTGTTTAGTGAAGGATATTGGATAGTTTACAACAGCTAGGGAGGCTGTAAAACCAAGACTAGGAAATGAGGAGAAATAATGGAAAATTAGCAGTGGTCAGGGTCTCAGCCAACAACTATTCCATGGAACTCTGAGGACACTTCTGGATCCATGATTGCATTGCTGGATGCTTGGAAATTCGATTTGACTGCCATTTCCACTACCAGAGTAGAATCTCTGAAATCCTAATACCTTTGTGTTCCTAGCTCCCTGTTCGAAGTCCAGTTATAGGCAAGATCAGATGCCCACATCTTACGTCTGAGAGGTTTGGAAATAATTATTTGGTGTTTGGTGCTCCTAAAACAGAAGGCTGGTTCTACCACCAACAAAACTTGTAAAGAGTATCTTCCCTCTTGTTGTCCCATCAGGAAGAGGGTTTAGATTCTAGGCAGACCAAAAAATTTGAACTTCACTTTCGTTAGGACATGTGTCTCTTTTTCTTGGTAAGTAAGCAGTTTTTAAAAATTGAAATAGAGATTGCTTAAATATGATCATCTGTAGCCTGTCAGGAGAGAGGAAATAGTAAGTAATGGGGTACAATTCTGCTTAAAATTTCATATAGCCCCTGAATTGAGGAATAATGCTGCCAATACCTCAATGTGACAAGGGTAGAAAGCACTGATATTTAGATCTGAATTGATGGAATTTAAACAGAAAAAAACACATAGTTTTAGAAATTAGATATTATCCTTAAAACATAAGGCCAGGATATTTATTGAAAAGTTCTACTAGCAAAAAGTTTCAATGTCATTTTGAACAGTATCTGGAAACCTGTTTATAGGTTTTTGAGCCTGTTATTTAATACATGGTGCTATCCTGTCTGCCACGGCTTTTGAAGGAAGATACCAATTTTTTTCAGTGTGGCTAGTCATCCTAATGAAGGATGATGAGACCCTATAGCATTCATATGGTATGTGTCTTGGATACTGAATTATTTTTTGTCTGAGTTCATTTCTGACATGACTAAGGAAAATATATAGTACTTTTTCATTGAGATTATTTAATTTTCTCTTGCCTGGCTTACGTGCAGCATTGGATATTTTAAACCAAAATGTTCTCATTTAGTTTATGGGATGTTTGTGATTAGAGAGACAACTCAAATTAGGTATATACATTCCTTCTGTTTTAGTGTATATGTATAGGTAGAGAAGAATTAAACAACTTACGTTTCTATTTGGAAATACTAAATTAAAATTGAAAGCTAGGAGAAAAATACCTTTGTAGGTAATGTATTACCCTTCTATACCATTTATTTCAGGTAGATTATTTGAGGTATGATTATTTCAGATATTCAGCTGACTTTTTTTTTTGAGATGGAATCTCGCTGTGTTGCCCAGGCTGGAATGCAGTGGCACAATCCCAGCTTCCTGCAACCTCCGCCTCCCGGGTTCAAACGATTCTCCTGCCTCAGCCTCCTGAGTATCAGCTGACTTTAAAAAATGTATTTATCTTAAAATAATACAGATTATAGGAAGCTGCAAAGACAGTACAGAGCAGTCCCCTGTGTTCTTTATCCAGTTTCTCCCAATGGCTACATCTTACACAGCTGTAGTACAGTAGAAAAACCACGAAATTGACATTGGTACAATTGTATGATTCTGTGTCATTTTATCATGAGTAGATAACTATTTTATCACCACAGTGATTTCCCTTATGACTGTAGAGTCCCACCCACTCCCCCTCTCTCACACCATCCCTAGCTCCTGGCAACCACTAATTTATTCTCCATCTCTATAATGTTGTCACTTTAGGAATGTTACATAAATGGAATCATACAGTATGTGACCTTTTAAGATTGGCTTCTTTTTTGTACTCACCATAATGTTCATGAAAGTTTGTTCCTTTTTATTGCCAAGTATTCCATGGTATGGATGTAACCAAAACCATTTAACATTGATCTTCTGTAGAACATGTTGGTTGTTTCCATTTGGGGGCTACAAATAAAGCTTCTGTGATCAACTGCTAATGTGTAGGTTTATATACATTTTGATTTTCTTTTGAACAGTTACATATTATTGAAGTTGGCACACCACCTACAGGGAACCAGCCCTTTCCAAAGAAGGCAGTGGATGTTTTCTTTCCTCCAGAAGCACAAAATGATTTTCCTGTTGCAATGCAGGTATTTTAAGCAAAATAAAACTTAAAAAATCTCTCCTCTTAAAAGAAATTAACCCAAAGACTATTCATGGTAGATATAATTTAAGTGATGCTTAAAAGAATACTCTTACAAAGTTTATTAGTGAAGCTTTGTAAAATAATACCTTGGCCTTTCATGTACAGGCCTACCTTGGGCATATTATGAGGTTTGGTTCCAGACGACCACAATAAATTAAATACCACAACAAAGTGAGTCATAAGAATTATTTGGTTTCCCAGTGCAGATCAAAGTTACACTTACACTATGCTATAGTCTACTGTAAAGTGTGAAATAGCATATCTCTAGAAAAACCGTATACATACTGTAATTTAAAAATACTTTATTGCTAAAAAATGTTAATGATTATTTGAGCCTTTAGTGAGTTTTAATCTTTTTGCTTGTGGAAAGTCTTGTCTCAGTGTCAGTGACTGCTGAATAATCAGAGTGGTTGAGGTGGCTGTGGCAGTTTCTTAAAATAAGACAGCAGAGAAGTTTGCTGCATCAGTTGACTCTTTCACAAAAGATTTCTCTATGCAATGCTGTTTGATAGCATTTTACCCACAGTAGATCTTCTTTCAAAATTGGAGTCAGTTCTTTCAAACCCCGCCAGTGCTTTACTAGCTAAGTTTCTGTAATAATCTAAATGCTTTGTTGTCATTCAGCAATGTTCACAGCACCTTCACCAGCAGTAGATTTTATCTCAAGAAACCACTTTTCTTTGCTCATCCTTAAGAAACAGCTCCTTTACTAGGAGATACAGTAATTCAGTCACATTTTTAGGCTCTATTTCTAATTCTGGTTTTCTTGCTATTTCTACCACATCTGCCCGTATGTGCTGCACTGAAGTCTTGAACCCCTCAATCATCCATGAAGGTTGGAATCAGCCTCTTCCAAACTCCTTTTAATGTTGATATTTTGACTTCCTCCCATGAATCATGAATGTTGTTAATGACATCTAGAATGATGAAGCCTTTCCAGATTCACCATTACTTAAAAGTACTGTGGTGAATCCTTTCCAGATTCACTTAAATTTACTTTGCCCAGATCCATCAGACGAATCACTATCCAGGGCAGCTGTGGTCTTATGAAATATATTTCTTAAATAAGAAGACTTGTAAGTCAAAATTGCTTCTTTGATTCATAGGCTTCAGAATGGATGCTGTCTTAGCAGACATGAAAGCAATATTAATCTCCTTGTATATCTCCATCAGAGCTCTTGGATGACTATGTGCATTGTCGATGAGCAGTAATATTTTGAAAGGAATCTTTTTTTTTCTGAGCAGTAGGTCTGAACAGCAGGCATAAAATATTTAGTAAACCATGCTGTAAACAGATGTGCTGTCATCAGGGCTTTGCTGTTCCATTTCTATAGCATAGGCAAAGTAGATTTAGCATAATTCTTGAAGGTCCTAGGATTTTTGGAATAGCAGATGAGCATTGGCTTCAACTTAAAGTCACCAGCGTCATTAGTTCCTAATAAGAGAGTCAGCCTGTCCATTAAAGCCAGGCATTGACTTCTCTGTAGAGAAAATCTGTTGTTTAGTGTGACCGCCTTCAATGATCTTTGCTAGATCTTCCATATAACTTGCTGCAGCTTCTACATCAGTACTTGGTTTTCACCTTACACTTTTATATTGTACAGATAGTTTATTTGCCTAAACCTCACGAATCAACTTCTGCTACCTTCAAATTTTTCTTCTGTTGTTTTCTCACCTCTCTGAGCCTTCACAGAATTGAGGAAAGTTAGGGCCTTACACTAGATTAGGTTTTGGCTTAAAAGAATGCTGTAGCTGGTTTGAATTTTTTTTTTTTTTTTTTTTGAGATGGAGTCTCCTTCTGTTGCCCAGGCTGGAGTGCAGTGGCAGGATCTCGGCTCACTGCAAGCTCCACCTCCCGGGTTCATGCCATTCTCCTGCCTCAGCCTCATGAGTAGCTGGGACTACAGGCGCCCACCACTACGCCCGGCTAATTTTTTTGTATTTTTTCAAAATACAAAATACGGGGTTTCACTGTGTTAGCCAGGATGGTGTCGATCTCCTGACCTCGTGATCCGCCTGCCTCAGCCTCCCGAAGTGCGCGGGATTACAGGCCTGAGCCACCGCGCCTGGCCTTTTTTCGTTCCTTTCCCTTTCCCTTTCCCTTCCTTTCCTTCTCTTCTCTTCTCTTTTCTTTTTCTTTTTCTTTTTTTTTTTTTTTGAGACGGAGTCTCACTCTGTGCCCAGGCTGGAGTGCAGTGGTGCGATCTCAGCTCACTGCAAGCTCCGCCTCCCACGTTCACGCCATTCTCCTGCCTCAGCTTCCTGAGTAGCTGGGACTACAGGCGCCCACCACTACACCCGGCTAATTTTTTGTATTTTTTGTAGAGACGGGGTTTCACCGTGTTAGCCAGGATGGTCTTGATCTCCTGACCTCGTGATCCACCCACCTTGGCCTCCCAAAGCGCTGGGATTATAGGCGTGAGCCACTGCGCCGGACCTCCTCCCTCTCTCTCCCACTCTCCCCCTCTCCCCCTCCCTCTCCCTCTTTAAAGAGACAGGGTCTCCCTCTGTTGCCCCGGCTGGAATGCAGTTGGTGTGATCATAGCTCACTGCAGCCTTGAACTTGAACTCCTGGGCTCAATTGATCCTCTTGCCTCAGCCTCCAGAGTAGCTAGGAGTAGGTAGGACTACAGGTACATACCACTACGCCTGGCTATTTGAAAAGTATTTTAGAGACAATGTTTCACTGTGTTGCCCTGGCTGGTCTTTTTTTTTTTTTTTTTTTTTTTTATGAGACTGAGTCTCTCTATTGCCCAGACTGGAGTGCAGTGGCACAGTCTCAGCTCACTGCAATCTCTGCCTCCTGGATTCAAGCGATTCTCATGCCTCAGCCTCCCGAGTAGCTGAGATTACAGGCACCTGCCACCACACCTGGCTAATTTTTGTATTTTTAGTAGAGTCGGGGTTTCGCCATGTTGGTCAGGCTGGTCTCGAACTCCTGACCTCAAGTGATCTGCCCACCTCGACCTCCCACACTGCTGGGATCACAGGCGTAAGCCACCATGCCTGGCCCAGGCTGGTCTTAAACTCCTGGCCTTAAGTGATCCTTGTGCTTCAGCCTCCTGTGTAGCTGGGACTACAGACACATACCACTGCACCTGGCTAGTATATAACATTTTTATTTGTATTTTTGTTTGAGACAGGGTCTCACTCTGTCACCCAGGTTGGAGTGCAATGGCGCGATCTCATGCACCACTACACCTGGGTAATTTTTTTGTATTTTTAGTAGAGTCAGGGCTTCATCATATTGGTCAGGCTGGTCTCAAACTCCTCCCCTCAAGTGATCCACCCACCTTAGCCTCCCAGAGTGCTGAGATTACAGGCATGAGCCACTGCACCCAGCTGTGTATAACATTTTTCTTTTAGAGACGGAGTCTCACTCTGTTGCCCAGACTGGAGTGCAGTGGCACCATCTCGGCTCACTGCAACCTCCGCCTCCAGGGTCAAGCAGTTCTCCTGTTTCAGCCTCCCCAGTAGCTGGGACTACAGGTGCATGCTGCCATGCCTGGCTAATTTCTTTTATATTTTAGTAGAGACGGAATTTTCACTGTGTTGCCCAGGCTGGTCTCAAACTCCTGAGCTCAGGCAATCCACCCACCTTGGCCTCCCAAAGTGCTAGGATTACAGGCATGAGCCACTGCACCTGGCCTATAACATTTTAAAAGAGAAAAAAAAAACTGCTCATATATATAGTTACATAAATTCAAAAGTAGAATCGTTTTATTTCTCTTTGGCCTGCAAAACATTACCTCAATGTGGCAAGTACTAGAGTTTGACTTTGTCTGTGGTCGTTTTCTTAGATGTGAGAAAATGAGACTAGGATTACATTTGTAAGCCACTGCACCAGTGCGCTTTCTCCATATCAGCAAGAAAAGCTGTTAGGTTTTCTTATCATTCATGTGTTCACTGCAGTAGCACTTTTAATTTCCTTCAAGAACTTTTGCTTTGTATTCACAACTTGGCTGGGTCAAAAAGCCCACCATTCAGCCTGTCTTGGCTTTGGACGTGTCTTTCTCACTGAACTTAAAATTACTTCTAGCTTTTGATTTAAAATGAGATGTAGAACATGTAGAGGCAATTGTAGGGTTATTAATTGGCCTAATTTCATTATTGTTGTGTCTCGGAATAGGGAGGCCCAAGGAAAGAGAAAGAAATGGGAGAACAGCTGGTTGCTGGAGCAGTCAGAACACACACAATATTTATCGGTTAAGTTTGCTGTCTTATGTGGGTGCGATTCATCGCACCCTAAAATAATTACAATAGTAACATCAAAGATCACTGGTCACAGATCAACATAACAGATATAATAATGAAAAGGTTTGAAATATTGTGAGAATTAATGAAAACGTGACACAGAGACACCGAAGAGAGCACATGCCGTTGGAAAATAGTGCCCATAGGCTTGCTCGATGCAGGGTTGCCATAAACCTTCCATTCGTAAAGATTCATCTGCATTGCAAAGTGCGGTAAAATGAGGTATGCCTGTAATACATAAACTGTGCTATCCTAAGTTTTGAATTGTCTTTCCTTTTATCAGTTTCATTCATATTCTTGTGTTATATAAGAGCTTGGAATATCCATATTTAAATGTGCTATAAAAATGAAGGAAACTTTAAATATTAGCTTATAATTTTTCAAATAACCCTCTTGTTCTAGAATTTTACCATCTCTGAAATGGAATTAGACTGAATGTTTTTATTTTCTGTTTATAGATTCATTATTTCACTGAAGTGTTAATTTTCTTTCTATAGATCAGTGAAAAGCATGATGTGGTATTCTTGATAACCAAGTATGGTTATATCCACCTCTATGATCTTGAGACTGGTACCTGCATCTACATGAATAGAATCAGTGGAGAAACGATTTTTGTTACTGCACCTCATGAAGCCACAGCTGGAATAATTGGAGTAAACAGAAAGGGACAAGTAAGGAAACCTTGAAACTTAAGCAATAAAATAAGATAACCTGATGAGTTGGGAACAATCCTGTACTTTTGAGAAATTACTCCCAAAAATAATAAAATAGAAAATAAACACATTACTGTTAGTTTTTTTCCAAAAAGTAAATGGTAACTTTGGATATTAGAAAATATATATCAAAGCATGATGTAAGCTGATAAAAAAGGAAAATAATATATACCTAAAAATAGAGATGTGTATGAATACAAAGTGTGTCTTTAATCCTGTTTCAGAGAAACTGGTTTATAGCCATCTTGGACTGTATAGATGCATTACTGTCAAAAGAAGTGATTCTCCATGGAAAAAAACAATTTAGGGTCATATTTGACAGACTATTCTTTTTAAGGAGTTTTCTGTTATCTCTCCAAGGCAGAGCGATTATCAACTACAGGGAAAAGAATTCTACCTACATCCCTTTTCCTAGCTCTTTAATTAAGCATTACTATTACATGTTAGAAGGTGATATGTTTCAATACCTCTTGTGGGATGCCTGGAAAGTTAATCAATTTGGTAGGAAAAATATTATCCATTCTAAATTTGTCATTTTTGAAAAACCTGTTAATACCATCTAGCAAGCGGTTCTTTCTCTGTCATCATATTATTTTAATTTCTTTTTTTTTTTTTTTTCTTGAGACGGAGTCTCGCTCTGTCACCCAGGTTAGAGTGCAGTGGCATGATCTCAGCTCACTACAACCTCCACTTCCCGGGGTTAAGCAATTCTCCTGCCTCAGCCTTCCGAGTAACTACGATTACAGGTGTGAGTCACCGCACCCAGCTAATTTCTGTATTTTGAGTTGAGACGGGGTTTCACCATGTTGGCCAGGCGGGTCTCAAACTCCTGACCTTGTGATCCACCCGCCTCGGCCTACCAAAGTGCTGAGATTACAGGCGTGAGTCACAGCACACGGCCTATTTTAATATGAATAAGAATATTTTACCAGGAGGTATCTTAATTTTCTGGAAAGTGGCTAAAAATTTTAAAACTTAATACTGTTACTGGTCTTGCCTTTTGGTCTTGCCTTTTACTCGTTTTCTTTCAAATTAGTATTTTTCCCAGATAATAAGCAAAGGAAGTAGATGGGTTTTGTTTCTCCTTCATTCAGTTAATTTTTGAAAAATGTTACGTATATGAAGAGACAGTCCCTCTAGGGAAAGGGAGTCCATCCCTACCTACCCATGCCCCACCTTAACTCCGGACCTGGTTAGGTGCTTCTGCTCTGTACTCCTAGAACTTAACTTACGGCTTTCTCCTCATAACACTTAACATACTTACTAAAATTGCCTGCTTAGCTGTCACAGTCACTATTCTTCATTAGAAAAACGGATTGTCTTTAGTAAATTATATTTCTAGCACCAGTCAGTGTCTGGGACAAAAGCAGTTTTAAAAATTCAGTAGCTTTCAAGTATTTAGTTGTGAGTCTCTGTCTTAGAAAAATCAAGAATAAGGCTAGGCGCAGTGGCTCACACCTTTAATCCCAGCCCTTTGGGAGGGCGATGTGGGCAGATTGCCTGAGCTCAGGAGTTCGAGACCAGCCTGGCCAACATGGTGAAAACCCGTCTCTACTAAAATACAAAAACTTAACTGGCTATGATGGTGCATATCTGTAATCCTAGCTACTTGGGAGGCTGAGGCAAGAGAATCACTTGAACTTGGGAGGCAGAAGTTACAAAAAATGAGCCAAGATCACGCCACTGCACTCCAGCCTGGACGACAGAGCAAGACTCGGTCTCAAAAAAGAAATTAAAAAGGAAAATCAAGAATATATTGGCCTTTTTTGGTGAATTAGATTAGTGATAATTTAATAATCATGAAGTTGTGAAGCCAGGGACCTTTTTTTAAAAAAATTCTTAATTTAAAAAAAAAAAAAAAAGACAGGGGCCAGGCACAGTATCTCATGCCTGTAATCCCAGTACTTTGGGAGGCCAAGATGGGTGGATCACCTGGGGTCAGGAGTTTGAGACGAGCCTGACCAATATGGTGAAACCTGTCTCTTTAAGTACGAAAAAAAATTAGCCGGGCGTGGTGGCAGGTACATGTAGTCCCAGCTACTTGGGAGACTGAGACAGGAGAATTGCTTGAAGCCAGGAGGCAGAGGTTGCTGTGAGCCAAGATCGTGCCACTGCACTCCAGCCTGGGCGACAGAGCAAGACTCCGTCTCAAAAAGCAAGACTTTGTCTCAAAAAAAGAGAGAGAGACAGGGTCTTGCTATGTTGCCCAGGCTGGTCTTGAACTCCTGGGCTCAAGCGATGCTCCTGCCTTGGCCTCCCAAAGTGCTAGGATTACAGGCATGAGCCACCACGCCTGGCCCCTTTTTGTTTCTGCTGTTGTGCTGTTTTAAGATAATGCTTAACCTAAAGTACCTTAAACAATTTCATGATACATTCTTGGTGTTCATAACTCTAATTCTGGGAACTTGTTGATTGTTACTTTCCCTTCCTCCCAAATTTTATGTGCCAGCTACTTTGAGTAAAGAGGTATTTACAGTAATATTAGGGCTTTCTTTTAGTCTTCGCTGAAGTGTACTAACTCGGCGTATTCCCTGAAGGGATGAGTATGTGGCTTCTATCGGTTGAAAAAGCAAAATCAAGTAAAGTGATGTTATAGTCAACATCTGACTTAAATTCTGAATTTGATAGAACTGAGTACTTTAGAAGACACTGGAACCTGGAACCTTTTCTGTTCCCTGTAGGAGATCTTATTAAGTACTGGTTGCTAGAAATCTGCTAAAACAGTCTTTATGATAAGGATGAAACTGTGGATTCAGTATTTGGGGAAACCTAAGGCAGCAATCAATAGGAAGCTTCAGAAAATGTAATTGGAACTGGATTTTCTGTTTATCTTTCTCATTCTTTATAGGAGGTAAGATTTAAGTTAAGGTTGGGGCTCAGAAATGCAAATAACTATAAAGAAAGTAATTATTACTTCCTTTAAATAAGCCTTGAGGATGGAGGTCGGACCTATAGAAATAAAATCTTGGAGGTTAAAATTTCTTAATTTCCCCTGAAAGGAGTAGTAGAATAGGCAGGGCAGACTGTTACCTATCTATTTGGTTCACTGAGTTCTCAAGTATTTTTCAATTCTTATTGATTTGGGGACAGCCATTTCCTATATTCGTTTATTCAACAAATTAAATGTGTTTTATGCTACACTAATTGCATATTGCTAGTAATACAGTTAAAGAGAAGCCCCTTTTCCTCATGTGAACAGTGACTGAGAAACAATTATACAATTATATTAGGTTGAGAAGTGCTGTTATGGGTAATATGAGTAGTTTATAAGCTAGGGCATATGACTAGTTCTGCACTGGGGAAAGGGATGGATGGGTAGAGAAGGACTCCCTTTCTCTATGGCAGTTGACAGTCGTTCAGCTTTTGGGGCAAGCCAGAAAGTATTCTGTGGCATTGAGTGTTAAGGAAGTTTGAGGGTAGGTAACTTTTGCAAACAAGCAATTAGAAATTGGCCTTTACTGATATTATTATTTTTATTTATTTATTTATTTATTTTGAGACTCCCTCTGTTGCCCAGGCTGGAGTACAGTGGCGCCATCTTGACTTACTGAAACCTCCGCCTCCTGGGTTCAAGCAATTCTCCTGCCTCAGCCTCCCTAGTAGGTGGCACTACAGGCGCATGCCACCACGCCCGGCTATTTTTTGTATTTTTATTAGTAGAGGTGGGGTTTCACCATGTTGGCCAGGCTGGTCTTAAACTCCTGACCTTGTGATCCACCTGCCTCGGCCTCCCAAAGTGCTGGGATTACAGGCGTGAGCCCCTGTACCTGGCCTATTTTTCAAGCACCTACCATATTCCTTGCATTATGTTAGCTGCTTGAGGATTCAGTGGTCCCTCCCTTCATTGAGTATATAATCTGGTCTCTAGGAATGAAAATGTAATTAACAAAAAATTACTGTAAAGTTCTTGTAAAAAAAAATCCTAAAATTAGAAGGAATATACCTTAAACAACTTGCAAGTGAACCTTAAATGTCATTTAGATATCATAGCTTCTTCAATGTCATTTTCTGTAGGTTATCAAGATTGATGTCCTCAGGAAGTTTTAAATTATGTGGAGTTGTCTTTCAGAGCTCAATTAAGTGGGAATGTTAATCTTTGATACTGACTATGTTAAGAATGAATAGATGGTATCAAAGCAGTTAGTTTGGACAATGAAGAAAGAAGTTATTTAGATTATAGAATAGCCATATTTTAGGAACCACATAATGGCCTAGCACCCTGTGATACTTGTTTTCAAATCTCCTTAATTTTTTTTCTCCTTGTCTTCCTTCCTTCCTTTCTTTTATTATTTTTTAATGGCAGCAAGAAAACAGCTGTCACAATTTCATTACCTTTGTGACTCAGTATTAACCTGTTCTAAATAGACTTGGTATCATTTGTATCAAAATGAACACATTGCAGCTATATTTTATTCTTTAAATTGCAGGTTCTGTCAGTGTGTGTGGAAGAAGAAAACATAATTCCTTACATCACCAATGTTCTACAAAATCCTGATTTGGCTCTGAGAATGGCTGTACGTAACAACTTAGCCGGTGCTGAAGAACTCTTTGCCCGGAAATTTAATGCTCTTTTTGCCCAGGGAAATTACTCAGAGGCAGCAAAGGTGGCTGCTAATGCACCAAAGGTAAAGCGTTATGAAAATGAAGTTGTCATGACATTAATCCATTGTTAATATTCTGTTTCTCATATTGCTAGAAAAGGAACCAGCTTTCTAGAGAGAAACTGTTTTTAGATTACATTTGGGTTACATTTTCCTTTAGTAGAATTCCTTGTCAGTGCCTCTAGATTTGGTTAATTTTCTCTGGATTTGATTAGTTTTTTAAAACCCAGATTGTTACAAGGATATGTAGTTCTAGCAAGCTTTTGATTTACATAGATGTAATAATGTTTAGTTATTTAGGTGTAATACTATTTGACCTCATAGATGATGGTTACTGATTTTATTTCCATAAGTTGGACATGAAATAAATACTGTCCAACTTTTTGGTGAGTAGAGCTGTCAAAATTAGGCTGAATTTATTATCACTTTTGATGTTGGTTTATGGTGGACTGAATTAATACCTTATATTCCTGACCAATATTCATTATGAAATTTGTACTTAATTTAATATGAACTTGGGATAATACCTAGCTATAACTATGTTATGATTATAACTATTCTTTTACACATTGACATTGTAATTTAAGTTGATCTATTTTTGATTCTGGATAATCTTATAACATTGAACCAGGAGTATGAAAGATAGTGACTAAATATTTACTCTAGATGGAGAAGATTTGAAACTTCATATTAATAGATGGATTCATTCCTTTAAGATTGACCTAAGAGATTGATCTCTATGGGGTGATTAGTGTGATGTTTGGATCACTTTTGAAGTGTGTTTAACATTTCTTCTTCTTAAAGGGTATTCTTCGTACTCCAGACACTATCCGTCGGTTCCAGAGTGTCCCAGCCCAGCCAGGTCAAACTTCTCCTCTACTTCAATACTTTGGTATCCTTTTGGACCAGGGACAGCTCAACAAATACGAATCCTTAGAGCTTTGTAGGCCTGTACTTCAGCAAGGGCGAAAACAGCTTTTGGAGAAATGGTTAAAAGAAGATAAGGTACTTGAAATTGTGTTGACATAATCTTGCTTTGATTGCATTAAATATGATATTAGCAAGTTAAAATCATTTAGGCTGCACCAAAATGTCTCCATTACTGCTGGTAGAAACAGAACAAAAACATACATTGCATAAGATGGGTTCACTTATTTCCTTTTGAAAATATATTTATTTTTTCACTGGGCGTGGTGGCTTACGCCTGTAATCCCAGCGCTTTGGGAGGCCGAGGCAGGCGGATCACCTGAGGTTGGGAGTTTGAGACCAGCCTTACCACCATGGAGAAACCCCGTCTTTACTAAAAATACAAAAATTGGCCGGACGTGGTGGCAGCACCTGTAATCCCAGCTACTCGGGAGGCTGAGGCAGGAGAATCACTTGAACCCGGGAGGTGGAGGTTGCAGTGAGCTGAGATTGCTTCACTGCACTGTAGCCGGGGCTATAGAATGAGACTCAGTCTTAAAAAAAAAAAAAGAAAAAAGTTGGATCTTAATAAGACAGGATGGCTGTCTAATTAGCAATGAGATACTGTTTCCCAGTGATTTCACAGAATGTTAGTTGGTGTTACATGGAAAAATATTTAACTTGGTTTCTTGAAATTTATTTAAATAGGAACCTTTTCTGAATGTTAACTAGCTTTCTTTACTGTAGGTCTTTTCGATGCCTTTTATATTCACTCAGTACTTACTCATTTCTCTTTACAGAGAGCATATAATGGTAGTACGTTTTCCTGAGCACATTATTCCTAATGTGGAATAGTGACTGAGAAACAGCCAAAGGGCGTTTTTTGTTTCTAAGATAACAGACAAGTTTTAGCTATCCATTAGTGTTAATTCCTTTCACACCACCATATAAAAAAACCTTTCTCCTCAAAGTTGTAGTATGGAATTGCCATTGTCAAGAACTGAAGTAGTATTGTTTAAAGCACTCTGAATAGTGAATAATATTTAATGTTGTTATTCTTTCAGCATTAGTATATATTAGTACTGTTTTTATATTATTAATTCTAAGTCCTTGTTTCTTGATCCAGTTTCTGGCAATCTTGTAAGATACTAGAGAATAGTTTATCAGATTTGGGATGCTTGGACAGGAGTCTCTGATGAAGAACAGCCACACTAGCGAGTATCTGAGGTCCATCCTAATTGATTAAGATAAGGCAGGGCTGAGTTCGGTGGCTCACACCTGTAATCCCACTACTTTGGGAGGCCGAGGCAAAAGGATCACAAGGATCACTTGATGCAAGGAGTTTGAGACCAGCCTAGGCAACACAGAGAGACCCTATTAAATAAATACACACCATTTTTTAAGAAGATAAGGGAGAATGAGAACAGCCAAGGTAACTGAGTTAACCTATGTAACAGGGTGAAAGCTTTTTAGGTATCATTACCCTTTTCTGTGAACAGTCAAATGGGACCATTTGTGGTTTTAATAAAAGAGACATCAACTATTCATTAGCATGTTCAGTTAAGATTATAGACTCTGATACAACTTTCTATTTTTGGCATTAAATATCATTTATAAGAGTTAGTCTCCAAAGTAGAAAGTCAACTTTGGTATATAAACTGGAACTCTTAGGAAATGAATTTCCAGATTGGGCAGCTCAATGAGTAAGGCAGACTGAATAACACAGAAGACGGTATTTGCTTGTATACTACCTAAAAATTCTTAAGAGTGTCCTTCTTGCCCTGTAAGCTTAAATCCAAGTCAAGAAGATAGTGGTACTTAGATTCTTCAGACATATATAGGTTACACTGTGATTTAATAACTGACCTTACGGTAAACCTCATCTGGCTCCTTCAATATCAAATTTTCAGTTGATAACATTACATTAAAAGTTGCTTTTTGCCGGGCACGGTGGCTCATGCCTGTAGTCCGAGCACTTTGGGAGGCCGAGACGGGCGGATCATGAGGTCAGGAGATCGAGGCCATCCTGGCTAACATTGTGAAACCCCATCTCTACTAAAAAATACAAAACAAAATTAGCCGGGTGTGGTGGCGGGCGCCTGTAGTCCCAGCTACTCAGGAGGCTGAGGCAGGAGAATGCCGTGAACCCGGGAGGCAGAGCTTGCAGAGAGCCGAGATCGCACCACTGCACTCCAGCCTGGGCGACAGAGTGAGACTCTGTCTCAAAAAAAAAAAAAAAACAAAAAAAAAGTTGCTTTTTGTTTTTGAAAAATCGGAGCCATGTGATGTGAGTCTGATATCTGAATATTCTTAGTAGTTAGGAGTATAAGAGGTAGAAGATTCTGCTTTAAAGTACTTAAATCCCTAACAAGGTAGTTGATAATATCTATAAGATTGCAGTCTAGGTGAGCTTTTTATCTTTAAATAAGATTTGTGGAGAATTCTACTGAGACATTGCTGTGAATACAAGATTAAGAGTCTACCAGCCACAACCCCTGCATATTTATAGTATATTCTGTGAAACTAAGTACTTCTCATACTAATTATTATAGTGGATATAGTGTCAACTGCTCATTTCTAAAACAGTTGATCGATCACTAAACAATCTCTTTTTCCTTTGGACAGCTGGAATGTTCTGAAGAACTGGGTGATCTTGTGAAATCTGTGGACCCTACATTGGCACTTAGTGTGTACCTAAGGGCTAACGTCCCAAATAAAGTCATTCAGTGCTTTGCAGAAACAGGTCAAGTCCAGAAGATTGTTTTATATGCTAAAAAAGTGAGTTCAATGAAACAGATTCTCAGCATGAATTCATCGAAGCATGGACAGAGAAATTAGCCTGTATTAACTCTTGGTTACTTTAATAGTGAATTTCCTTTCATTTTGATTTACTTTGAAATATATAAAAATTCTCTTACCCCTCATATCAAATTCATACTTGTTAAATTGAGACAATTACTCTTGCATGGCTTATCAGAATTTAAGATAGCAGACATGTTTAACATGTTAGAACAAACTTTTGAAATACTCATTTATTGAAAATGGATAAGCCAGGCCAGGCGTGGTAGCTTGCGCCTGTAATCCCAGCACTTTGGGAGGCCAAGGCGGGCAGATCACTTGAGCTCAGGAGTTTGAGACCAGTCTGGGCAACATGGTGAAACCCTGTTTTTACTAAAAATACAAAAAAGTAGCCAGGCGTGGTGGTGTGTGCCTGTGGTCCTAGCTACTCAGGAAGCCAAGGTGGGAGGATCACTTGAGCCCAGGGGGCAGAGGTTTCAGTGAACCGAGATTGCACCTCTGCACTCCAGCTTGGATGACAAAGCAAGACCCTGTCTCAAAAAAAAAAAGAAGAAGAAAATGGATAAGCCAGTTATAAAAATTGACAGGTGTTTATTCAAATATGTCATCATCAGGGTCTAACTGGGCACTTTAAATCGAAAATGAATTTGTGCTTTCACAAGTAGTTCTATATTAGCAAGATTTTATAGTAGAAAAAGTCTTTAAATGCTATGAAATTGAAACTTAGAAGCAGCGTTTAAGTCTTTGTTTGTTTATAGGTTGGATACACTCCAGATTGGATATTTCTGCTGAGAAATGTAATGCGAATCAGTCCAGATCAGGGACAGCAGTTTGCCCAAATGTTAGTTCAAGATGAAGAGCCTCTTGCTGACATCACACAGGTAATGTGATTACAATATATTTTGTAGAAGCTGATTGAAATGGAGAGTGGGGGCCAGCCGTGGTGGTTCACGCTTGTAGTCCCAGTACTTTGGGAGACCAAGGTGGGAGGATTGCTTGAGGCCAAGAATTCAAGACCAGTCTGGGCAACATGTGAGACCCTGTAACTACAAAAAATTAAAACATCAGCTGGGTGTGGTGGCACATGCCTGTTGTCCCAGCTACTCAGGTGGCTGAAGTGGAGGGACAGCTTGAGCCTGGAGGTCCAGTTTGCAGTGAGCTGTGATCATGCCATTGCACTCCAACCTGGGCAACAGAGTGAGACTCTCTTAAAAAGAAAAAAAAAAAAAAAAGAAACTTAGAGTTTGTAGAAATTAAAGCTTTGTCACTCTATATGGATAAACCTCAAATGCCTTGCAAAAAAAAGCAAGTTGCAAAAGAATGGATAATATGAAACCATCTGCATGTAGTTTTAATACATGCAAAACAAACATCTTATTTAGAGATATATATGTATTAAAAATATGAAAAATACATGGGGATGATAAAACAGGATAGTAGTTGCCACTGGGTATGGGGAGAGGGAAGAGATGCATTTGGAAGTGTGAGTCAGAGTCCTTCATATTGTTTATGCTGTTGTTTTTCAAAAGTTTATAAAAATAAAGGTCAGTCTGGGCATGGTGGCTCACGCCTGTAATCCCAGCACTTTGGGAGGCTGAGGTGGGCAGATCACCTGAGGTCAGGAGTTTGAGACCAGCCTAGCCAATATAGCAAAACCCTGTCTCTACTAAAAATAACAAATTATCCAGGTGTGGTGGCAGATGCTTGTAATGCCAGCTGCTTGGGAGCAGAGGCAGGAGAATCGCTTGAACCTGGGAGGCGGAGGTTGCAGTGAGCTGGGATCGTGCCATTGCACTCCAGCCTGGGCAACAAGAGCAAAACTCCGCCTCAAAAAAATAAAATAAAATAATAAAATAAAGGTCTATTGGTTCAATTGTATTCTGCTATTATGTAATATCTTGAAATATTTTGTAGTTTTTATCAGAACTGAAAATAACTGTGTTCTCTAGAGGACAAAAATTTGTTCTTAAAGTGTTCATATTGTCCAAATAAAATTCTCAGGTAAAGAAAGAGCTCGTGCATAATTTTGTCTACATACTCTCCATAGTATCTTAAAACAATTTCTTTTAAATCTATTTTTTTTGTAGATTGTAGATGTCTTTATGGAATACAATCTAATTCAGCAATGTACTGCATTCTTGCTTGATGCTCTGAAGAATAATCGCCCATCTGAAGGTCCTTTACAGACGCGGTTACTTGAGATGAACCTTATGCATGCGCCTCAAGTATGTGTTTTAATGCTTTTTAGGCATGTTTCCAACATTGTTTTAGTAGTTGTGCAGAGCATCTCAGATTGTCATGCAAAGCTACTGAGATGCCTACTCCTTATACAAGAAAATTTAGCTATTATAATATTCTTTTGTACTTTCTTTAACAGTTCACTATTAAACCTTAATCTGTAATGGATGTTGAATTACTCATATAAATGGAGTGGACAATTAACTTTCCTTGTTTGTGGTTTTACAGGTTGCAGATGCTATTCTAGGCAATCAGATGTTCACACATTATGACCGGGCTCACATTGCTCAACTGTGTGAAAAGGCTGGCCTACTGCAGCGTGCATTAGAACACTTCACTGATTTATATGATATAAAACGTGCAGTGGTTCACACCCATCTTCTTAACCCTGAGGTATTTCAGTTTCTTACCTGATAGATGGTGTTAGTTGTGATTAATAGGTACACTGAAAATGTGTTTGTGGTACTAAATATTAATGATTTCATACCACCATGAGGTTCAACGTTATTTCATTTATTCATTCATTCATTTATTTTGTCTTGTAGTGGTTAGTCAACTACTTTGGTTCCTTATCAGTAGAAGACTCCCTAGAATGTCTCAGAGCCATGCTGTCTGCCAACATTCGTCAGAATCTGCAGATCTGTGTTCAAGTGGCTTCTAAATATCATGAACAACTGTCAACTCAGTCTCTGATTGAACTTTTTGAATCTTTCAAGAGTTTTGAAGGTAAGTAGGAGTTTTTGAGTTTTTTTAAAAAGTACTTAAGATAGCCAAGAAGAGGTATGCTTATGATCAGCCTATTGGAAATTTTGTCTTTCTTTCTTTTTTTTTTTTTTTTTTGAGACAGAGTCTCGCTCTGTTGCCCAGGCTGGAGTGCAACCTCTGCTCACTGCAACCTCTGCTTCCCGGGTTTACGCCATTCTCCTGCCTCAGCCTCCCGAGTAGCTGGGACTACAGGCACCTGCCACCTCACCTGGCTAGTTTTTTTTGTATTTTTTTAGTAGAGACAGGGTTTCACCATATTAGCCAGGATGGTCTCGATCTCCTGACCTCGTGATCTGCCCGTCTCGGCCTCCCAAAGTGCTGGGATTACAGGCTTGAGCCACCGTGCCTGGCCTGGAAATCTTGTCTTTCTAAAAATTTGTTCTATGGGACATTTTAATTTTTATTCAATAAATGTTGTCAAGGCCCTTTTATGTTGGATCCTAAGGATATGCAGTGAACAAGACCATCTGTTTGGATATTTTATAGATGAATGAAAGGTAGAATTTTAAGAGAAAAATATGTAGTGGTGTTGAAATTGTATAAAATGAAAATACAGGTTGAGTGTCCCTAATCTGAAAATCCAAAATGCACCAAAGCCTGAAACTTTTTGAACACCAACATAATGCTCAAAGGAAATGCTTGTTGGAGCGTTTCAGAAATTGGATTTTCAGATTAGGGATGCTGATCAGGTAATTATAAAGCGAATATTCCAAAGTTGAAAATTTGAAACATGTCTGGTCTCAAGTATTTTGGATAGGGGATACTCAATCTGTACTAATGATCGGGTATAATAACATTTTATGCTTATATGTCTGACTCTTACAATAGCAGGTGATTCTCGCCAAGGGCATTTTGTGATTTGTTGCTATTTAGCAGAATTTCTTAACCTTAGTACTATAGACATTTAAGGCTGGATAATCATTGTAGAGGGGTATTCCTGTAGATGTAGAATATTTAGTAGAATATTTAGCAGCATTCCTGGTTTCTACCCACTAGATGCCAGTAGCGTCAGCTCCACCAGTTGTGACAACCAAAAATGTCTTCAGACATTGCCAGTGTCACCTGTGAGGAAAATCACCTCAGTTGAGAACCACTGCTATGCAGGGAACTAACGTAATCACTGTTGGGTGGCTAAGTTCTGGTCCTCAATTGCCTTTCTCTCCTCTTTGTAGTAGTAGTGCTCTATTGAGAAGGGGTAAGAGAGTCTACTAGTTTTCTTAATGTTTTCTTAATTTTCACAGTTTTACACTGTTTAGTACAGCAGTCACTAGCCACATATAGCAGCTATTTACATTGAAAGTTATTAAAATTAAATAAAATTTAATATTTAGTTATTCAGTCACTCTAGCCACATTTCAAGTGCTTAATAGCCACGTGTGGTTAGTGGCTATTACATCGGGGGGCAAAGATAAGATTTTCATCATTGCAGAAAGTTCTTCTGGACAATACTGCACTAAATTCTTCCCAAATTATTTTGTATGTTTCCTATAAACTGCATATTGAAAAACACCAGGTATTGGGGTCTTCATTTAAAATTTCCCATATAGGGGCACAGTGGTATATGCCTTTAATAATCCCAGTGCTTTGGGAGGCCAAGGCAGGAGGATTGCTTGAGGCCACAAATTCAAGACCAGCCTGGGTAACACAGCAAGACCCCATCTCTACAAAAATTTTCTTAAAAATTAGCCTGGCATAGTGGCATGCACCTACCTACTTAGGAGGTTGAGGTAGGAGGATTGCTTGATCCCAGGAGTTTGAGGCTGCAGTGAGCTATGATCGTGCCACTGCACTCCAGCCTGGGTGACAGAGACCTGCCTCAATAAAAAAGAAAAAAAGGAAACATTGGGTTGAATTGTCTGTTCTTTAGGATTAAAGTGCAAATCCATTTTACTGATCTGATTAATGGAATAATTAGTATTTTTATCGAGCTTTTTAAGCAACCAACTTATATTTGGGAGTATTCAATGTAACAGTTTTTTAATTGCATAAATGCTTTTCAGTCATTCTCAAAAGTGTGCCTATGCTTAATTGTAATTACTTGTTTCTTTAAGGTCTCTTTTATTTTCTGGGATCCATTGTTAACTTTAGTCAGGACCCAGATGTGCACTTTAAATACATTCAGGCAGCTTGCAAGACTGGGCAAATCAAAGAAGTAGAAAGAATCTGTAGAGAAAGCAACTGCTATGATCCTGAGCGAGTCAAGAATTTTCTTAAGGTAAGTGGTTTTGAGTAACGTGTTTTCTGGTTGGATTCCAGTTTAGCAGTTCTACAAGGGTTTGGTCGTAGTTCAAAAATATTTTTTCCCTAAATGTGAAATTGTTAGCATTCTTAAGTTGTGTGCTGGATTATTTCTTCCAAACATAATACTCTGTGGTTTCCTTTGAAATACGGAAGGAAATCGGTGAGTAAGAATGACCATCTGTTTAAAAGAAGAAAAAAAATAGCATTATTTCAAAGGAATTTCCTTTATTTTAATTTTGGATGGAAAAATTTAGAAAAGTGGTTATATACTTTCAGAGTCATTTGAGAATCATTTAGGCTTTTGAATATTAACATCAGCTTGCTCTTCATACCATTTTGAGGAGCCTCTATGGTAGGCAAAGGGATCTGTTATCTAAGGAATGTATAGGCTTACCTCTTTCATCAAGTTTGCCCAACTCTAGAAACTAAAATATTTTTCATATATAATTCATAAATTAAAGATAAGATCAAACAAAATGCTCAGCTTTGTGATACATGAAATGAGTTATAGAGAAGTAAGGACCACCTGTGTTGCAGGGAGGAGTAATGGTCGAGACATTCTGAACTCTAGAAGATCCCTAAGGGCAGTTAATTTTGTTTAATGTTTAACTTAGCTTTAGCTTTATTCTACCAGTTACTTTGTGAGGGAAATAAAACTTTAAAGTTGATAGCTATCTCTAAAAGACCAGGAAAACTACAGAACACTTAGATTACTGCTCTCTCACTGCCTATTATGTGTGTGTGTGTATTTTATATATATATATAAAATGATTCCTGAGACTTTATAGAAAGTGCTGAAGTATTTTTTGTCTTGGAAGAATTTTAAATTACAAGTGAAACCAAAATGTTTATTGTAGAATACAGTACAAAAAGTAGGCTTTTCCTGCTCCCAGACCATCATCATTTGTGCCTGTGGTTGCACTGGCAGATTGTTCTTTTGAAGAATTTACTACCTGGGCTCTAGATGAAATAGCAAAACCCGTAGGGATTTTAGTGTAATGAGGTAGTCAAAATGTTGAAATTGCTCTACATTTTAGATTAAAAGATACACTTTTCAAAAAAGTGTAGCTTTATAATGTCTTTGGCCATCATGAATATTCTGGGTAACCTAGCTAGTATGCTATGTTTGGACCAAAACTTTCTGGTATCAAAAAACCCCTCCAGATGAGAAAGATTTGATACTCTATGCTTGACTAGTGTACCCATACTACTGATTCACTTCCTTCTGTGAGTATCATTACTATTTCCTTCCAAAAAAAAAAAAAAAAAAAACTGCTACCAGATTCTTTTGGGGGCAGGGGGTGTTGGGGGTTTTTTGTTGTTTTTCAGCTTTGAAGTTCAGGTGCATGGGCAGGTTTGTTATATAGGTAAACTTGTGTCATGGGGGTTTGTTGTACAGATTGTTTCGTCACCCAGGTATTAAGCCTACAACCCATTAGTTTTTTTTCCTGATCCTCTCCCTCTTCCCATCCTCCACCCTTCAGTAGGCCCCAGTGTCTGTTGTTCCTGTGTCCATGTGTTCTCATCATTTATCTCCCACTTACTAGTGAGAACATGCAGTATTTGGTTTTCTGTTCCTGTGTTAATACTACCAGATTCTTACATGATTTTTGTTTTTATTGAGCCCTCAGCTTTTATGCTTAAATTGTAACTTCTTTAGCTTTGGATTTTAATATTTGAGTTACATATATATGGAAGGCAAAATGAAGTTAACTGCTATCATTTAATTATCACATTCTTGAGCTTTAAAAAAATCCTCTAGTAAAGACATAAAAAATAATCCTCTGGGTACTAGGATGGTACTGCCTTAGGTTTGCATATCCCATGGGATCTAATCAGATGAAGATTTCCCCTCCACACTTGTGAATTAGGTGCAAGCCTGATATAGTAGGGGTGTGGATGTGGATTATGAGCTTTTGAGTCAGTCAGACCTGTTTCAAATTCTACTTAGCCATTGTTTGTTCATTCAGTATATGTCTAGCCGTTACCTCAGGCAAGTTAATGAATGTGCCTCAGCCTCAGTTTCTTCAACCATAAGCTTATGTTTATCAAGTACCTTGTATACTACAGATGTTGAGGTAGTAACTATTACTGATAAGTGATAAGCCTTGGAAAAAGGTGGAGTCAGCTTAAATGGGATTTCTGTCAGGCAGGTATTTATTTCTCTTTGATATCAATTTGTACCTGACTCTTTGAAGGAATTTACTTCCGGCCAGGATTAGAGGTGAATTTAGTGTCTTATGTCTACATAATTTGAGATGGGAGCTCAATACTAAGATGCAACTATCACATTTATCCTCTGATGCCAGTGTTGAGGATGAACATAATAGATTCCTTGTTAACCTGTAGTACATGGTTACGATGCCTCTTACCACTGTCATTAAACTGAATTTTAGAGGTACTAGCTACATGATAATTTACTGGTGTTGTAAGTAAACCCTGTGTCATAAGAAAAATACCGTTGACTCTGATCTTGAATATTCGAGTGCCAATTGTGTGTTAGCCACCAGGAATAAAGAGATTGGTAGAACATAACTTCTCCTTTAAGGTACCCTGTGAGCAGGATAAAGTTGTGTCATTAGCATCACATGGCTTATGCCCTAAGTTTGTAGAACTGTAAACTTTCTGTAGAAAGCATGTAACTGTTCATAAGACCCATGATCTGCTCCTTGCTACCTCTGATCTTATTTTCTACCTTTCTTTTTTTCTTCTTTCCTGGTTTATCTTCAACCACACTGGCCTGCTTGTTATTCCTAGAACTCCCCCAACCCTGTCCTGCCCAAAGGCCTTTGCTTGTGCCCTGTACTACTTATTCTCTCATGACCTTCTCCTTCTTTGGGTTTCTGATTGAATGTCATAAGAGAGGATGTCTCAGGTTGCCCTGTTAAAATAGAACCCATTCCTACCCCATTTTGCTTGTTTTTCTTTATAACACCACTGTGTACGTCTCCTCCCACTAGAATGTAAGTTCCTTGATAGAATGGACTCTGCTTCCTTTGTTCCCTGCTGTATCTCCAGTAACTAAGAACAGAGTCTGATACTTGGGTACTCATAAATATTTGTTAAATGAACAAATTTATGTTGAAGAAAACCTCTATGTTAATATAATTTCAAGTTTGATCTTAAAATCTTTAACCATTATAACTGGCGGTTAATTAAACATTTAGTAGGTAATTTAGTATTATTAAAGTGTTAATAACATTTCTACCATGTATAAAATCATGTGCAAATTTTAGCAATCAAGAAAATAACCTAGATTTTGTCTTTTTAAATCTGAAATTTTCTTTTGGAATACAGTTAGTATTCCACAAAAGTGGAATTATTTGCCACAGAAGTTTAAACACCTGTGCATGAAAATAAAGTAATCCTAGATTATTTGTAAGTGATAAAGTTAACAAAAATATTTTATATGTGTGTAGGTAAGATGACTAGTGTGTTGATCCATACTTTTTTGATGTTCATTTAGTAGGAAAAACATAACATACTAAAATTTTTGCATAGATAGATGCAGACAGATTCTAGAAATGATTGTAACAGCTATTAGTGCAGAGTTTCCATGGTGTTAAACAATACTTGCTTTAGAAAACCTTCCTTAATGTCGAAAATGTGCAGCTTTACAGACATTTTTATTTTTTAATTTAGGATGGCTAAATTAAAATTAAGATTTACCTTGGTGTTCTTGGAACACTTCATAGACTAGTCTTTGTATTATTTATAATTGAGTAACTAATATCCCCTAGTCTCAGGAGCCATTTTATTCTAACCTTGAAAATAATGTTCTTAGTGGCCATCACTGGGGAAAGTTCTACCCTACTTAGTTCTGCTTCCCTAGTAGACTATGTTAGAGGAATCATTTATTGAAGAATGTTTCACTGTGTATAAATGAATTCCTGATGGAAACTGTTGTTTTTTGTGCTCTACCTTATGTCTGTGGAATGTAACAGGACATGTATCAGGTAAATGCCCAGTACAGGTTTTACTTACCTGTCTGTAACATCTTCTATGTCAATCTATAAGTAGGATTGTAGTTTGGTATCTGTAATGGAATGGTAAAAGCAGTTGGCAATTTAAAGAGGTCTTTTCTTTAAATGCTGTTTTTTTGGGGGGGTGGGGGGCGGTTCTTATGGCCACATGTAGTCACCATCATGCTGCTCCTTGTAGGCTTTGTTATAATAGAGTATTAGAGACTGGTTGTCTAGATTGGATGTGGGGAGGGATAGAAAATCATTAGTTTGAAACAAATGTGAGCCATTTATGCCATATGTTTGACAATGTGACTATAATTATTAAGTTGATTTCAAATACAATGGAAATGTGACTACCAATGAAAGTCCCAGTGTGGTGACTCTCAGATGAGTGGCTCTCATCTGAGAGCTACTGCTGGCTCAGGTATCTTAATTTGTTACTCTTGTCTTCTGGTAAAGGGTGTGTATGGGAAGGACCTGGTATCTTGCTGTGTGAATCCAAGTATTGCTTAGTAAAAATTTACTGAAACTGGGATGTACACACTCAACCATTGGGACGTTCTTTCTTTAACAGAAGAGCCATGCTTGTGTGAGCCTCTCTTGTTAGTGTAGAACAGATTCTCATATTTTACATAGATTCGATACCTCATAGAAGGAGAAAGTTAAAGCTTCCTTTTGTTTGTCTTTTTTTCAGGAAGCGAAACTAACAGATCAGCTACCACTTATCATTGTATGTGATCGATTTGACTTTGTCCATGATTTGGTGCTCTATTTATATAGAAATAATCTTCAAAAGTATATAGAGATATATGTACAGAAGGTAAGTATGTAGGTAATGTAAAGGTATAATCTTACTGTAGATTTTATTTCTCATATTCTGGAAATCCTTTTGAAACTCTGTGCTCAATAAGAGTGGTCTGCAGCTTTTAACGTGGGTTTTTTTGGTTTTGTTTTTGAGACAGGGTCTTGCTCTGTCACCCATGCTGGAATACAGTGGCACAATCATAGCTCACTCTAACCTTAATCTCCTGGGCTCAAGCAATCCTCCTGCCTTAGCCTCCCAAGTATCTGGGACTGCAGGTGCATACTACTATGCCCAGCTGCTTTTAATACTTTTTTCCCCATAAAATTCTACATGCTTTCCTAGCAAGCCGACTCAGGGAAGGGGAAAAGAAATGCTTGCCAAGTGTGTAAAATATAAGAATAGAACTGCTATTGTTGAAAAAGTTGGGTGGCCTACGGCCCTACTAACTTGATAGGCCTTGAGGTATCCATGTAGAAGCCCTAGACTCTAAAGCAGAGTTTTCAAACCATCTTAAATACAGCTATTAGATACTTCACCTTCTAACTGTAGAAACAGGCAGTATTGCTATCATGGGAGCCTTTTAATTAGATAGTCTTGCATAGTCATCTTTGACTGTAGTTTCTTTGGACTTATTTATCATATGGAACAATGCTTGGGTACCTAATAGAGAATATAGTATATGTGCTTTCAATACTTATTAAACCATGAAGTCTTGCTTTTAGCCGGACCTCCTGCTGAATTCTTCTATCTAGTTGCAAATTTAGACCCTCAGTTTATTACTGAATTTAAAAACTGAACTTAAAGAAAAACTGAGCTTAAAAGTGATAGAGATAAATGGTTTTATTTTTTCTAATTCCTCTTTGCTTTTAATAACAGTGACATTCTTCTACTTTTTTTAACCACAGGTGAATCCAAGTCGACTTCCTGTGGTTATTGGAGGATTACTTGATGTTGACTGTTCTGAAGATGTCATAAAAAACTTGATTCTTGTTGTAAGAGGTCAATTCTCTACTGATGAGCTTGTTGCTGAGGTTGAAAAAAGAAACAGGTGTAGTACCATTTTAACGGGGATAAGTTACTCTTTCTTAGCATGGCAGTAGATAAAAATATAGGTAGTCAGTTGTTCCAAAACTACTCAACAACACGTGGAGAATAATTTCCTGAAGACACCTCACGTAGAGGTGATAAGCTAGCTAATAGCGCCCAAAAAAAATCTGTTTTCTGAAACATTATAGCTGTCATAGCATATCTGTTAACCTGGTTGATCCTTTTTTTTGGCATGTTTATAATTACAGCTATGTAGTTTGACTTTATGTGTTTTTAATATAAACTATGTACTAAGTCTCCTGTTTAGTTAGGTGTGATACCTATGTATTTAACAACTAATTATTTACTGATCAATAGTGTGGTGTTTCCAACCTGAGAAAGCTGCTTAATAAAAACAAATAGCGTGGTGTTTATTTAAGTATGAGGCAAAAGAGTTCCCCGTGCAACTCTTGAATTCAACTGATGTTTAATTTATAGTACCTTAACATGATAATACATGATCATATGGATTTCCAATAGAATATAGTGTAAGTGCTTCTAAAACTTACAGACTATGAAGTCTTTTTTTAGCTGGAACATTCTGAGGAACTAGTGTTTAGGAAGTACTGATGTAAATGAGGGTGGTGAGGTGGTATGCTAGTGGGAAGTTCTGCTGTTTATATAAGAAGAAATTAAGAAAGTCTGTGGGATTTCATTTTAACCTGAGTTGGTATAGGTGATCTACTAATTATATTCTTAGAATTTATATTAGAATGTTTCAAACATGGAAAAATTTTGCATTTAAGGTTAATAGAGATATACAGTTAATACTGACTTAAAGGTTTGCGCCTAGTTTCAAGTAATTTCATGTCATAACAATTTAACATTTAATAAGAGATTCAGTTGAGTCTTAAATCTATTACCTGAAAATAATCTTATTGCATATTCCAAGCAAATGGCAGTTACAGTTAGATAATTTAGTCTTTAAGTGACAAATTATATTGTGACAAATTATATTGTGAAAAGCTAGATTCACCTCTAAGTCACTAGTCTAGACATGCCTTAGCTAATTTTTATTCCTTAAGTTGACATGGCACATCTTGGATTGCGCATGTTTTTAGGAGCTGGATATTCGCCTCTATTTATTAAAATTGTCTTCTCCCTAATGGGAGTGTTCATAATAACCATGTGAACTGGTAGACAAAATAACAGAATAATGCTTTTTCTTTGGCTACTTTTAATGTTAAATCATTGGTAAAAGAGGCTTGGGCCAGGCGTGGTGGCTTGTGCCTGTAGTCCCAGCTTCTAGGGAGGCTTAGGTGAGAGGATTGCTTGAGCCCAGGAGGTCAGGGCCGCAGTGAGCCATGTTCCCACCACTGCACTCCAGCTTGGGCAACAGAAGACCCTGGCTTTAAAATAAAAATAAAAGCAGGCATGGTCATCAGGACTACCAAAACAAGCTATAGTATAGCAAAACTGTGCTCCTTGATGGAGTGTTTATATGACAGCTACAACCATTAAACCCAGAGCTTCTAAAGCTACCAGATTTTATTCCCAGTATGTATTTAGGGTTTGGCTGTAGGTAATGCTGTAAGTTAACTGTGTTAAGAGCTGAAAGAACTCTCAGATAATCTGGCCTATATAATATCACCTCCCCATTCTATCCATAAACAAAATTTCCTAAGGTCTAGATATTTTGCGTGTTATAAAGAAAGGACACTGTGTGACTCTCTAATCTTTTATTCAGATGTAAGCAGGTAGGTATATCATATAGCAGATAAATCTGGGAGAGTGAAAATAGCTTTATATACCTTCTTTTTATTCTTGGGCAACTCAATCATCTTTTGAGTCCAAGGATCACTTGAGCCCAAAGCTGTAGTGTACAATGATTATGGCTGGAATAGCCACTGCACTTCAGTCTGGGCAATGTAGCAGTACTCAAGGGGAAAAAAAGTATGTGAAAGTGAAAGCACGTTGTAGACCATAAGGTATTTACATAGTTAGCATGTCAAGAGTGTGTTATTTATAATGCAGTATGTGTGTGTGAGGTTTTTTTCCCATTTTTCCTAGATTGAAACTGCTTCTGCCTTGGCTAGAGGCCAGAATTCATGAGGGCTGTGAGGAGCCTGCTACTCACAATGCCTTAGCCAAAATCTACATAGACAGTAATAACAACCCGGAGAGATTTCTTCGTGAAAATCCCTACTATGACAGTCGCGTTGTTGGAAAGTATTGTGAGAAGAGAGATCCACATCTGGCCTGTGTTGCTTATGAACGTGGCCAGTGTGATCTGGAACTTATTAATGTGAGTACTGCCAGCTGAATATGTAAAAAAGCTGCATTTTTTAAAACCTGTTATATGAGAGGTTCAGGGTGATTTTAGGTAATATGGGACATTTGGGGACAGTGGGTGCTTTTTAAAAACTTTATTTGCTAATAATTGTGAATCTGAAAGTGCCCAAATAGTGGATAAAGTCTATATACCCTTTATTCTGATTGACTTGTTAATGTTTTAACCCCATTAGCCTTACCATTTGTGTTCTCACACTCTTACACGCAGGCACACCATTGATACGTATATGTTACACACATCTATTATTTTTTAACCACGTGGGAATAAGTTGAATGCATCATGGCCTTATACCCCTTCAGAGTGTATGGCCTAAGAATAGGGATATTCTATTTCATTAACCACATGAAATGTACCAGCTTCAGTCAGTTTGACATTGACAGGATACCTTTAAAAATCTGTTCTATTCTAGTTGTGTCAATTAACCAATGATGTCCTTTGTAGCAGTTTTTTCCCCTCTAGTCTAAGGTTATATATGACATGTAGTTTTCATGTCTCTTTAGTCTCCTGTACTCTGGAATGGTTCTTCAGTCTTTTGTTTTTTATGACACTGATATTTTTGTAAACAGATAGTTGCTTTTTCTATTTGTAACTATTTTATATAGGTGAAATTTAAAGCAACATCAAATTAACCATTTTAAAGTGAACAATTCAGTGACATTCAGTACATTTACAATGTTATATAATCACCTTTATCTAGTTCCAATTTTTCATCACTTCAAAAGGAAATCCTGTATTCCTTAAACAGTTCCTCCACATACCCCCTCCTCCCAGCCCCTGACAACCACCAGACTGTACTCTGTCTCTATGGATTCGCCTATTCTCTATATTTCATTTAAATGTAAAGTCTCTTTTTAAAAAATAGAATGTGTCTCATTTTGATTCCTCTGATGGTTCCTGAAGGTTAGATTTAGATTATACATTTCCACCCAGAATACTGCTTCAGTGGTGGTTTGTTTTTTTCTCATGGTATTATATCCAGAAGCACGCAGTGTTCATTTGTCCCCTTTGTCAGTTTTTATCAAGTTGTAACATTTCTTTATTATATAATTATTACCCTCTTGCAGATATTAAACAGTCTGTAAGTAGACACTTAAGACCATGCAAATATCCTCTTACCCCCTCCCTTAATTTAGCATGTTGATTCTTTTTTTTTTTTTTTTTTGAGACGGAGTCTTTGCTCTGTCACCCAGGTTGGGGTGCAGTGGCGCGAACTCGGCTCACTACAAGCTCCGCCTCCTGGGTTTATGCCATTCTCCAACCTCAGCCTCCCGAGTAGCTGGGACTACAGGCGCCCGCCACCTTGCCCGGCTAGGTTTTTTTTGTACTTTTAGTAGAGACGGGGTTTCACAGTGTTAGCCAGGATGGTCTCGATCTCCTGACCTTGTGATCCGCCCGTCTCGGCCTCCCAAAGTGCTGGGATTACAGGCGTGAGCCACCGCGCCCGGCCCAGCATGTTGATTCTTGCTTAAAACATTCTTAATGTGTTGGTTGCAAAATGAAAAATTTTCAAACTCTAGCAGTTTCTCCACATTTGTCAGTTAACACTCATGCATTCATGAACTCTTGGATTTTATTCGATGGGGTGCAATCCATTACTTTTTATTTTGATGCTCAAATTGTCCCAGCTGGTGAGAACATCTTCAGTCTGTGTCTTTGTGTCATGGGCTCATTGTTCTTTGAGCATTTTAACTTATTTTCTGGCACACAATACACCAAGCTCATTTTGTACCTTCTGCAGCCCTGGAGTCAGTCATTTCTCTAGGGAACCTTTTACTGGGGCATGGTATTAGAAATCAAGATCTGGGCCAGGTGAGTGGCTCACTCCTAGAATCCCAGCACTTTGGGAGGCTGAGGCAGGAGGATCACTTGAGCCCAGGAGTTGAAACCAGCCTGGGCAACATAGCGAGCCCGTCTCTACAAAAAATTACATAATTAGCTGGGGGAGGTACCATGCACTTGGTTCGAAGCTACCCAGAAGGCTGAGATAGGAGGATCACTTGAGCCCAGGAGGTCAAGGTTGCAGTGAATTACGATCGCAACACTGCACTCTCCAGCCTGGACAACAGAGCAAGACTCCTATTTTCTGAAAATACTAGAAGTCAAGATCTGAGCTTAGGTATATTTGCTTCTAAGATCTTTCAGTGGTCAGAGCTAGGAAATAGTTATATTTATGTACATACATATGCTCACTTATGTACATACATGTGCATATACACATGGAAAAATAAACACACAAGAACAGCTAGTAAAACACTGAAAAATGTAAAAGTGGACTAGTCCTACCAGATGTTAAATTGTATATTACAAAGCCTGTATAATTAAAACAGTATATTACTGGTACGTGAATCAAAGTCCAAAAGTAGGTCCAATATCAGTAAGATTATCAATAAACAGAGTTTAAACAATAGGAAATAACCTCTAAAATGCTATAAAAAGTCTTTTACTTTTTACCTTGAAATTGATCTGTCATATCTTCTTTAGGTTTGCAATGAGAATTCCCTCTTCAAAAGTCTTTCTCGCTACCTGGTACGTCGAAAGGATCCAGAATTGTGGGGCAGCGTGCTGCTGGAAAGCAATCCTTACAGGAGACCCCTAATTGACCAGGTAACATTGGCAAACATATTTATGACTGTCAGTAAAAATTATACATTTTTAACTGTGGATACAATCCCCTCATCATATACTCAAATGGATCATATTTAACTAGGAGAGAAAGCAATACAAAGTAGAAGGAAATTAAAATTTATATACATTCAATTTACATTCATTTGTATATAATGAATGTAAATTGATTACGTTATATATAAATTAATGTAAATTTATATAAGTATAAATATGTATATAACATACATTAAGAAAAATAAGCTGCGTGCAGTCACGCCTGTAATCCCAGCACTTTGGGAGGCCGAGGTGGGCGGATTGCCTGAGGTCGGGAGTTCGAGACCAGTCTGGCCAACGTGGTGAAACCCCGTCTCTACTAAAAATATAAAAATTAGCCAGGCATGGTGGCACGCGCCTGTAATCCCAGCTACTCAGGAGGCTGAGGCAGGAAAATCGCTTGAACCTGGGAGGCGGAGGTTGCAGTGAGCTGAGATCACGCCATTGCACTCCAGCCTGGGTGACAAGCGAGACTGTATCAAAAAAAACGAAAACACATCCTAAAAGACATGACTTAATTACATAAAACTCTCTCGGTTCATCATAGTTTAAAAGGAAAATAACAAACTAAACAGTAAGGATTGCTATTAACGCCTAAGAAGTGGCTAAATTGATTGGAAACTTCAAGACAATAAGTCAGCAAAAGATAAGGATAAGAGAAAATACAAAAGACCAAGTGCATCTGTTATATCTTACTAACAAGAAGTATAGAACTGCACATGAGATGGGCTTTTATACCTAAATAAAATAGACAACATATTTTAAAAGCTCTAAAAATTGAAGGGTTGTTAATAATGAGTCTTAATATTCTCCTGAAATAAGTATAAATAAAACATTTTGGAAACAAATAGGTTGAAGGCTATTAATATTTCATTCCTTTCCTAGGAAGCATTTCTAAGGAACATTCCAACTAGTTACAAAGCTTCCTAGGGGAAGGATGTGGAGAGGGGGTGGTTGGAAATCATTGCAGCATCTAGAAAGCCATGCAAATAGGCAAAACTAGAAGAATTACTGATACTATAGTTCCACATCTGTGTAGTTGAATTTTGAATTATGTGTAGCCACCAAAGTGATAATGATGATTGCTAGTCTGGATAATGTTTTAATCAGGGAAAAGATAGAAATTATATAATTAGAGTAATTTTTCAAGAGAGTAGAATTACACATATTGTATAGATTTGTGTAGAAAGACCTCTGTGTGTAAATTTAAAGGTCTTTTTCCTACTTCATTCTTTTCTGCCTATTTCAAGTTTTCTAATGAGAGGCCAACTTATCCTTATTTAAAACCAACTTGATTCTCAATACTTATGTCCCATATATCCTCTGTAGGTTGTACAAACAGCTTTGTCTGAGACTCAGGACCCTGAAGAAGTGTCAGTAACTGTCAAGGCTTTCATGACTGCAGACCTTCCTAATGAACTGATTGAACTGCTGGAGAAAATTGTCCTTGATAACTCTGTATTCAGTGAACACAGGTATGCTTTCAGAGGGATCCATTGGCTGTTTATTGTCAGTCTTTAATAATGGCCCATCAGTTTTGGGAAGGAACAAAAAGATCAGAGAAAGTTGCCTGAATTCTCACTCTTCTAATATCCCCCCTCCTTCACTCTATCTCTTGAGACAAAAACCTATTAGTCACAGTGGTTTTTTTTTTATGTCTGATAAACTTAAAATATTGCATTTAAAATATTCTTTTGTTTCTTAAAGGAATCTGCAAAACCTCCTTATCCTCACCGCAATTAAAGCTGACCGTACACGTGTTATGGAGTATATTAACCGCTTGGATAATTATGATGCCCCAGATATTGCCAATATCGCCATCAGCAATGAGCTGTTTGAAGAAGCATTTGCCATTTTCCGGAAATTTGATGTCAATACTTCAGCAGTTCAGGTAAATCTTTAGATTACCTAAGTTGAATTACTAAATGTAATGTCTTCTACTCATTCAGTGTATGCACTGTCCTGTGAGGGTGGGCCTAATTTGTTCCTATGGCAATAGAAGAGCAATAAAATACTAACAGCTTAAATGTAATTGCTCTGGGTAGGATTGATTTTACTCTAACCCCAATTTCAAACTTGGGTACTTAGGTCTTAATTGAACATATTGGAAACTTGGATCGGGCATATGAGTTTGCTGAACGTTGCAATGAACCTGCGGTCTGGAGTCAACTTGCAAAAGCCCAGTTGCAGAAAGGAATGGTGAAAGAAGCCATTGATTCTTATATCAAAGCAGACGATCCTTCCTCCTACATGGAAGTTGTTCAGGCTGCCAATACTAGTGGTATGACTTCTTACCTTATGTATTGAGACCTCACAAAATGATTAAGCTAAGCATTAAGATATCTGTCTGTTCTGAATTGTAGAAGAGTTGGATACTGCATGGTTTCCTGTGAAAACTTTTAGTACTCCATCTTAGTCCAGATAAAAAGAGGCTGTATTTTGTGAATTTGTAAGTTCACAAAACTTACAAGTGGGGAAGATAAATTTTCTGTTTTTGAAGTCTCATAAAATCCTGATAATCCTCTAATCTTACAACTTTAAGGAAAAAGAGAATTCTTCTATTCATTTGGTCTTTGATAATACAGAAGTGAAATATTGCACAGTTTACATTTGTCATTATCCATGTTTCCTTGAAAAGGAAATGAGCAATTTTCATTTACTTGGGTGAAAGGTAAACTGGGATGTTAGTGTTTGGATATATTTTTTCTTTTTCTATACTTAGGAAACTGGGAAGAACTGGTGAAGTACTTGCAGATGGCCCGTAAGAAGGCTCGAGAGTCCTATGTGGAGACAGAATTGATATTTGCGCTGGCTAAAACAAACCGCCTTGCAGAGTTAGAAGAATTTATCAATGGACCAAATAATGCTCATATCCAACAAGTGGGTTTCCTTTTCAGATTTAAGAAAAACTAGTTGGGCTACTTGATTAGCTTGGTAGGATCAAAACATCATAACTGAAGAATTCCAAGGAAAAATCTACAGGAAAACAAATTATTTCTCAGTGTGAAGGTATGAATATGAAAAGAGGATTAAGCTCACACTAATATCTTACTGAATATGCGTTACCTTTTTTTTTCCAGGTTGGTGACCGTTGTTATGATGAAAAAATGTATGATGCTGCTAAGTTGTTGTACAATAATGTTTCCAATTTTGGACGTTTGGCATCTACCCTGGTTCACCTGGGTGAATATCAGGCAGCTGTTGATGGGGCTAGGAAAGCTAACAGTACTCGAACATGGAAAGAGGTAATCTAAACCCAAGTTTGAGTGAAGAATTAAAGAAACGCTCTGTAAACATTAGTTTAAACAACTAGCCATGTTTGCATTTGAGTTCACAGAAAGGAAATGTTTATTCTAGGTCTGCTTCGCCTGTGTAGATGGGAAAGAATTCCGTCTTGCTCAGATGTGTGGACTTCATATTGTTGTACACGCAGATGAATTAGAAGAACTTATCAACTACTATCAGGTAATTAACAAGAAACTTTTATATGACCTGAGATCTTTTACCATAGATACTCTTTAACTGCACATTTCTCTTGTTCAGGATCGTGGCTATTTTGAAGAGCTGATTACCATGTTGGAAGCAGCACTGGGACTTGAGCGAGCTCACATGGGAATGTTTACTGAATTAGCTATTCTATACTCTAAATTTAAGCCTCAGAAAATGAGGGAGCACCTGGAGCTGTTCTGGTCTAGAGTGAATATTCCCAAGGTAACCAGTCATTGTAACACAGTGAAGCAACTGTGTAGTTAAAACTAATACTTCAAAATATCTTATTCTTTTTAAGGCTGTTAGCTAGACTCATATCTAAAGCAATTAAGTCTTTCTTATGCAGGTGCTAAGAGCTGCAGAACAAGCTCATCTTTGGGCAGAACTGGTGTTTTTGTATGACAAGTATGAAGAATATGATAATGCCATAATTACCATGATGAATCATCCAACTGATGCCTGGAAAGAAGGGCAGTTCAAAGATATCATTACCAAGGTGTGTACTTTCTTCAGAAGATAAAGGATTCAGAAGGAGAAAGCTCATTAGGAAGTAACTGACTTATATATGGATTTTCCCATTATAGGTTGCCAATGTGGAACTATACTATAGAGCAATACAGTTCTATTTAGAATTCAAGCCTCTGTTGTTAAATGATTTGCTGATGGTGCTGTCTCCACGGTTGGATCACACTCGTGCAGTCAATTATTTCAGCAAGGTAAAGTAATAATTTTAAACCAAAGCTTCATAGCAAGGAATTAGGACATATTAGGATAACTTTTGTCCCTGGGACTTCAATAATGTGCTATATTTGTAACAAACTCTTTATTTTAAAGGTTAAACAGCTACCACTGGTGAAACCATATTTGCGTTCAGTTCAGAACCATAACAACAAATCTGTGAATGAATCATTAAACAACCTCTTTATTACAGAAGAAGATTATCAGGTAAAACCTTTTGATTCTTGCACATAATCTTAAGACTCATAAAGTTACATTTTCCCATTTTTCAAAAACGCCATTATCATTTAGGATTGTAAACAGTAGTTGCTTGCATTCCTAGGATCTAAATTTAGTAAGGTTTCAGGATTGATAAATCTTACTTCTAATTAAGTGCCAAGTTTTCAGAATTTTGCTCAGATCTTGTATAAGATACTGCTTTTGAAAAAAGATATGATTACTTTATCTCTAACATCTAGATTATAGGTAGAGTCAAAAATGTCTTTGATCACTTAACTAGTTCATAAAATTTATTTGATATTAACTATATTCACCATTTTTCTTTCCTACTGTTTTATTAGTATTTGTATAAACTTTATCTTACGAAGGATTTCGCATAAGCAAAAGTCAAGTAGAGTGAAGCTTAAGCTCCTTGCCTTTTTTTCTCTCTCTTGATTTTCTTTGAGGCTCCGTGCATGCAGATCTTACTGCTGCCATGCTGAGTTTTATCAGAAGTTTCTCTAGGGAATAAAATCTTGCCCTCCAGGCCAGGCGCGGTGGCTCACGCCTGTAATCCCAGCACTTTGGGAAGCCGAGGCGGACAGATCATGATGTCAGGAGATCGAGACCATCCTGGCTACACAATGAAACCCCGTCTCTACTAAAATACAAAAAAAAATTAGCCGGGTGTGGTGGCACGTGCCTGTAGTCCCAGCTACCTGGCAGGCTGAGGCAGGAGAATCGCTTGAATGCTAGAGGCAGGTTGCAGTGAGCCATGATTGTGTCACCACTGCACTCCAGCCTGGGCAACAGAGGGAGACTCCATCTCAAAAAAAAAAAAAAACAAAACTTGCCCTCCAAATTAGAAATCTCGTCAGTTTCATAGCCGTATGTTAGTCCTTGATACTGAAATATCTTGGAGAAAATGTTATCTTTAGGTAAGGTGAAAAAACACCTTTTGATGCTTGAATCTAGGTGTCATACTACATGTTACCTACCATCTAAGGGGCTCATTGATCGAGGACGGAATATAATGTTAAACAAAATACTGATCTGGCATTTGGATGGCTTTTTTTTTTTTAAGGCTCTGCGAACATCAATAGATGCTTATGACAACTTTGACAATATCTCGCTTGCTCAGCGTTTGGAAAAACATGAACTCATTGAGTTCAGGAGAATTGCTGCTTATCTCTTCAAAGGCAACAATCGCTGGAAACAGAGTGTAGAGCTGTGCAAGAAAGACAGCCTTTACAAGGTTGATAAAGTTGCGGGGCGGGGGCTGTTAAACCAGGCCTAAAATGATGTTACAAGTGATTTCTATAAATAAAAGTATTGGTTTTGTGAATATGAGAACTGACTTTAAGGCAATTTAAGTTAATGGATTTCTTGATTCTAGGGGCTCTCTTATGTTAAGGTCAAACTTGTTTGGGGGGAAAAAAAGGCCTTTAGCTTATCTGTTCTTTGAAAATTTTAATTTAAATGATACAACTAGGAGGCTTTTTTCCCCCTTGCAAAACCAGATTTATATTGGAAAGGTTCCATTGTTTTTCTTGGTTTACTAGTTTAGTATGTTGGGTCTAATGTTTTTTGACTTTCACTATTTTCTTTGAATAGGATGCAATGCAGTATGCTTCTGAATCTAAAGATACTGAGTTGGCTGAAGAACTCCTGCAGTGGTTTTTGCAGGAAGAAAAAAGAGAGTGCTTTGGAGCTTGTCTGTTTACCTGTTACGATCTTTTAAGGCCAGATGTTGTCCTAGAAACTGCATGGAGGCACAATATCATGGATTTTGCCATGCCCTATTTCATCCAGGTCATGAAGGAATACTTGACAAAGGTAATGACTCTTCTAAGTGTATTCAGAAGTAGTTTTCTTGCAGATATGTAAAATTCTACATGCACATTAATTTTTTTAATTTTTTTTATTTAGTAGAAGTCATTTAGTCGATCATAAAATATTCCTGTTCTTTTGAAAAATTTTTAATAGCTGATAAATGACACTGTTTGGAAGGGGAACTCAAATGTAGCTGTTTACCCTCAGTGTATTTATGATTGTGAAAATAATCTATATTTTGTTTTTTTATTTTAAAAACTATTCGATAAATTTTATTTCAAAGTCGCATTTTTCTCAAACTCAGTTCTTGTAACTCAAATAATCATAACTAGTATTGTAGATTCCCTTTTATTTGGTTGGCTCCTGACTTTAGTGATGTCTATGCCTGTTTCCCCTGGGGAAGCTGCATGTATATTCTTAACATCCTTTTAATCTTCACAATTTTTTTTGATAGTTTAACCCCTGATTTAAAAATATCATAGGAGGTGAACACATAAACAAGCTGGGGGTCTAATTGCCTTGTAAAATTCACTATTCATCTTAGTGTCCCTTTTTGATATAAGAATTTACTCACTCTGTCTTCAGCAGTTACTAGCTTTCTCTCTCTAGAACATTTTTAAATGGTTTTAGAGGATCCTTTTTGTCAAAGCAAAAAACATGATTAAAATCAGACTCTCCCAACTGATTCCTTCAGCCTGCCTGAGTTAAGGCGGGGGTAGGGGGAGTGGGAGCACTACCAACAACCCCTACTACACTGAATTTTTCCTCAGGATATCATTTAATTAGATACCATTGTGTCTGTTTCAAGTTTTTAAAGAATTAACATTTTCTGTATTCAATGTAAGAAAAAACATGTTGCCTTGTCTTAGCCAACATGTTTTAGCCATAGATGAGAATAGCTTCTTAAACATAATGCCAACTTGTGAGACCTGTCTCTAAGCTGCTGTTAACCTAAGTGCTGTAAATTTTACTAGTGATTAAGCTGCTTTCTTTCATACTGTAGCATAAATTCTTCTGCAGTAAGCTTTGAAGTTACAGAAAAATCTAAATTTTGCTTCCAGTATGCCCTTTATTTTCACTTCTCTCATACCTTTTTAGTGGTTAGATGTTTCTTCCCTAAACCTTTGTTGCTGATTCTACCTTTTTATGCTCAATATGGAATTTGATTTTTTTTCTAAGCTGCACCTTCTGAATTCCTTTGCAGGTTGATGCAATAAAGGAAAAGGTGAAAGTTGATTCTTTTCCATCTTTAAGTCTGGAGAACTAAGTCTAAGGAATTTGCATGATTTTTTTCCTTCCTTTTCTACACTGCTGCTGCTGCTTTTTCCCCCCAATAAATTTTCACTAAAGCCTCTGCAAGTCCCTTGAAACATAACTTTAATAGAACTGTAGGACATTAGTAGACGTTTGCTACTAATCGGCTAATAGGCTTTAGGAAGGGCAGGAGGCTAATCAGTAGTTGGTTCACAGTCTCTCTTAAATATATTATGAAAAACTGAGTATGGTGAGTTTCCATATTAATTCCAAAGTAACAGGAAATTTCTCTTCCCTGTCAGGGTATCTGGACCCTAATAGGACTATCATAATACTTGAAGTAAATTAAAACAGCCTCTGGTTTTACTTTGTGAGCTTGCCTGACAGTTGTTGAATTTATATATGTATATACATGCCCTAAAAGGCTTTTTGGGGTTTTTTTTTTTTTGGTATTGAAGGACTGTGATCCAGTTTCTGATCTCTTGATTCTTACTAATTTTTTGCTGAAAGTAGATACAAGAGATACTAGCTGCTTCCGAAGAGACTTTCCTCATGTTTCTCCAGGTGTCCAGTTCTTATGGTGCTAGTCCATTTTTAAGAGGAATCAAAACCTTTTTAATCACGAGAGCCAAGCTTGCTATAATTGTTGCTAAGCAACATGAATTACTTTTAACAAAGTATTAACTTCTACTTTCTGTAATAAGGCATACCACTGAAGCTACCTAAAATTTGCTCTCCTATTTATCAGTTGGCTTGTCCAAGGAGGTCAAATTCAGGCACCTTTTGGTTGCTGCTTCCTTCATTGGCTTGTCTCCATCCCAATATGAATGAAACAAACTTACGTCTGTTATCAAATTGTGGTTAGAAAAGGGTGGGAAGGTAAAGGAGAGTTGAAACAAATTGAAAATAATTTGGGTGGGGGACAATGCCTTGGGATTATGTTGAACCAAACTGGAGTCACCACTGGAACTTAGGGCAAACCTGAGTAAAATGCATTGTGTGTGAGACCCTTCAGCAGCTAGTAAGCAAGGCAGTTAGAAAGCGTGTGTGTGAAAAACAGGTAATTGAACTGCAGTGTTATGCATTGTTTTAAATGGAGCATGTACAACAGTCATTGCAATTACATCATACTATTTTTGAAACTCTTATAGCATTGCTGTGGGCTGTGTGTGTTTCTTGAGAGCCTGTATAGCAAGTCATCTTCAGATCACACTTCTTGCTTCAGTACTTTTGCCTTTTTTTCATGCACACATACACCAAAATAACTGACTGCATGTTACTTTTCCTCTGCAGCATATTGCAGTCTTTGTGGAAAAGCCTTTTACATTTTAGTGAATTTTCAGTAGTACAGATGGAACTGAATTCATTGACATGCTTACCTGTAATTTTTCTTTTTAAATCCAAGGATCAGAAACTTTTGTTACAGCTCTTAACAAAAGCTTGTGTTCTTAAAAGCCTTCTATGCTTTTTTTTTTTTTTTTTTTTTTTTTGAGCAATCTAAATTGGATCAGTGGAAACAAAAATTGAAAGTCCCTGTGCCAGAGGCTGTCCCATCATATAGAAGAATCAGAATTTTTTGCTTAGCTTGATGCTATTCCTTCAGAATTCTTCCCCCTATGCCCAGAGTTCCTATGTGTATGCCAGGGCATTGTGATATTGCCAGCTCTTCTAAGTCTTCCATGTGCTTCTCTAATAGGACTTCTGTGTTCAACATCTGATTCAGACCTTAACTTTTAAACACATGTTCACTTCAGATTCTTTTCCTCGAAAGTCAGGAAATGTATTATGCAGTGGTGGCTTTTTGGTTGTTTCATTTTTCTTCTTAGAAGTTACTAATGTACAGACATCCGTGTATTTTTCTTTATAACTTCTATAGCTCATTCTTGAATACTGGTTAGTTAGCAAAACCCCATCTGACCCTTGATGGCACAGAGCTGTGCTTTAAGTTCTATAAATGTAATAATTTTTGTTCTAAGTGTGGATGCCAAAAAATGGGCATTTCATCTGGTACTTATACTACATAATAGTCTTTAATTTGGTATTAGGGTAATTTGTAACCCATCATTTAGACTATAAAATAGGATAATAGTGTATAGAAGTAAACTAATCCATCTTCCTAGGCTAGAAAAACCACATTTCATCTGAAGGAGCCTACTTAGGCTTACTTTTCTCAAACTTTCAGTTCCCTAACAAATTAAGATGGATTAGACTCATATTCGTGGTATTTAATATGAAACAATTAAATGTAAAACAGTGCCCTAACCTTAATGGCCTATGCAAAGACTGAAAGATACTTTTTTAATAGTTTCAAATAGAAATGAGGTGCTGCCTGAATCTTTTTAGGACCTGGATTTTACAAACTTTTCCACTGAAGTTTTTTTTTTCTGAAGTGATTTTTCACAATTTGCCTTTTTGAAGAACATGCGGTGAACATTCAGAAAGTGTTCCCCCCTGCACTTTGGTCCCCCTATCTCATCCAGCACATTTATGACCTTGAAAACCACCAGTAATAGATAACATTGAGGTTTGAAATTTAGTTTTACTTAGCTATAATGATAGACCAAGTATAAGGCTTTGGTTGAGAGACCAGCTTTTAAATATTGAAAGACAAATATAGTGTAAAAGGCAATGGAATTTGTATAGTGAAGGAGATTCTCTAGTCCCAGTGTTGTAATGTCACTTCTCTCTATTTCATTACAGAATTACAGAAACAAATCATGTTAGGCCTGGAAGAAACTGCAGATCATTTTGTTCAACCTTCTCATTATATAGAGAAGGAAATTTGAGGGCCAGTGCAATGATTTGCCAAGGTCACACAACTAGTCAGTGGAAGGATCTAGGCATTCTAATTCCTTTCTTTCACTAATACATTTGGACTGCTCTACAGAATTACTTCTGATACTATCCACTTTGAAGAGTAGTTAGCATATAGTAGCCATTTACTTTTGGCTTAATTAAAAGCGAACATTTTTGGGACAAGATCAGGCTTTACTGATTACTTCTTAGATAACAGAGCACACACAGTATTAAACATGCAGCCTTTCTTTATACAAAAAGATTGAATATGGAGCCACTTGAATCTTAAACTTCAGTCTGCAGCTATAACCAATATCATCAGAAGCTATACACAACTGGCAAAAAAACAGCTTATTGTGCACAAGTACTTGTCCAGTCACTAGGCTCATTTAACTTTTTTGAATACTATTTCCTCTGGGGAGGGAAGTATTGCCAGACCATGAGTTCATTATTACCTCTGATCAGTTTTAAACCTCATTTGAAAAGTGGTTCCTTCTCGTTTTCTCCCTCCCTCAGGCTGCATCCTAGCATGCCCAGTTTTAGTCTGGCGTGAGCTTTTATGGCATTTATAAATCCCTCCTTCCTGAGGGTTTATAATGACAGTGCTGAAAACCACCTGGACTGAAGTATGAACATTGCCATTGAATTTGAGGGGGCCTGAGAATGTTCTTTCTAGTCTGTTTTATTTTGACAGAATTTAACATACTAAGGCTTTTCCACTTTCTGCCATAAACCTAGGTTTATAATACTTTTGGGGTGCTAATTAACATGATGTGTTTTTCTCCAGGTGGATAAATTAGATGCTTCAGAATCACTGAGAAAAGAAGAAGAACAAGCTACAGAGACACAACCCATTGTTTATGGTAATCTCTCTCTGTAACCTCAAAAAATTCATTAGATAAGTATTTAATTATTTAGAGACTGTGCCTCAAAATAGAATACAACAAGCTTCTAAAGTGCAGAAGGCTTGCTAAGAAATACTGCTTTCTGTAATTTTTGTTTCTGAGAAGTCGTAAAGCAGGTGTTGATATTATTCACTAAAATAATCCTAAATACAAGAAAACTCAAAAACAGTCATTTAAGATCATAACATGAATCTTTCCTATCATCTGGTCCCTCATTCATTACCTGCTCATAAATTAGTGAAAAAGAAATACTGATGAATTCCATTTTCAAAAGAGCAAAAGATGAGAGAATATGCCCAGGCTGTCTTTAGTATGCTTTACATAAAGAATACATCCTCATTTTAAATTCTAACTGGGGCAGATAACTGGGTAGTTTCCATTTGAGAACTTTCCAGAGAGATAGGATCTTCAAACTCTCAAGTGAATATTTAAGACAGTTTCATGTCTTCTTAAACCTACATGTCTGAATTACTGCCCCTTTCCATTTCATAGTTGGTGAACAGATTCATTTGAACAATCACTTTGAAGAGTATAGGTAGAAGCACAGTAACCAGGTGAGGGAACATAAAAATATGACCATTATGGCTGGGCGTGGTGGCTCACGCCTGTAATCCCAGCACTTTGGAAGGTTGAGGCGGGCAGATCACAAGGTCAGGAGATCGAGACCATCCTGGCTAACATGGTGAAACCCCGTTTCTACTAAAAATACAAAAGATTAGCCAGGCGTGGTGGCACATGCCTGTAGTCCCAGCTACTTGGGAGGCTGAGGCAGGAGAATTGCTTGAACCTGGGAGGCAAAGGCTGCAGTGAGCTGAAATGGCACCACTGCACTCCAGCCTGGGCGACAGAGTGTGACTCAGTCTCAAAAAATAATAATAAAATAAAATAAATAAAATTGGTTTCCAAAATTAATTTGTTTGCTAAATACAGCTTTGGTTGTTAACCACAAAAAGCAAAGACATGAAGTCCTTTGTGTAGGAGAAATCTTGATCTAGGTTTACACTGTAGTGGGAGGTTAAGAATATTTGTTTTGTAGGGGTAGAGAGGTGTTACTTGCTTTCCATCTCTAAGCCAAGTTCTCTATAGGTCATGTTTTCTGTATATGACCAACAACGATTTAAACTTTGTAAGAAAGAATGTCAACATAGTATTTGATAGAGGGTGTATGTTCTAATGTATTTCACACCTAAAGAATGTCTGAATGTGTCTTTTTTTCCGCCCCCCCCCAAGACAGCGTCTTGCTCTGTCACCCAGGCTGGAGTGCAGTGGCGTTATCTCGGCTCACTGCAACCTCCTGGGTTCAAGTGATTCTCCTGCCTCAGCGTGCTGAGTAGCTGGGATTATAGGCGCACACCACCACGTCCAGCTAATTTTTTTTGTATTTTTAGTAGAGACGGGGTTTCACCTATTGGCCAGACTGGTGTCGAACTCCTGACCTCATGATCCACCCTCCTCTGCCTCCCAAAGTGCTGGGATTACAGGCATGAGCCACTGCGCCTGGCCCAAATGTGTCTTAGTTTTAATTGCTGTCTCTAAATTAGTACTGGATCATCTATAAATGAATTTGGTTTCATTGCCATTTAGACATGTTTAAATCAGAAATTTACCTGTAAAAGTTATGTTAATAACATGTCATTTAGGCCAAGCATGGTGGCTTACACCTATAATCCCAGCACTTTGGGAGGGCAAGGTGGGCTAATCACTTGAGCAGCCTGGCCAACGTGGCAAAACCCCGTCTCTACTAAAAATGCAAAAATTAGCTGGACATGGTGGCACACACCCGTAATCCCAGCTACTCGGGAGGCTGAGGCATGAGAATCACTTGAACCCAGGAGGCAGAGGTTGCAGTGAGCCGAGATTGCACAACTGCACTCCAGCCTGGGCAACACAGCAAGATTCTGTCTTTGAAAAAAAAAAAAAGTCTTTTTAAAAACTAAGTTTTCTTGTGCTAATTTTATTGTGTCATTTAGTGTAATATGCATGTAGGTATGTGTCAAGTATACAGTGTCAGGCATATTGTGTTCAGTCATAAGCAGTTCTGGCCTTTGGCCCTGCACTATTTGTTGGCTTTTTAGGTAGGAACCTTCTTAGAGTAAGACTGTCCTCCCAAAATTGTAGCAATCAAATGTGCCCCCCATACACAACTCATTCGAGGCTGAGATTATGTTGCTAGAGTGGAGGAGATTGGGGTGTTCTAAATGCTAACAGTCTGTCCTGCCTCCTCACCCTGCCCCTGCTCCTTTTCATTTTCTTCTACTTTAGGTCAGCCCCAGCTGATGCTGACAGCAGGACCCAGTGTTGCCGTCCCTCCCCAGGCACCTTTTGGTTATGGTTATACCGCACCACCGTATGGACAGCCACAGCCTGGCTTTGGGTACAGCATGTGAGATGAAAAGCTGATCCTGTAGTCATCTATTTTCGTACTGAAACATCGTCTCTACCCACTTCTCTGTTTATAATGGGGGAAACAGGCAACGTGTTCTTGTAACCTTTATTTCATGAAGGACTCCTTTTTGTTTCTAACTATAAACTTGGATCACCTATGTTAAAACCTTATTTCACATTCCACATCATTTTAGAATTTATTTTCGAAGGGGAATAGTTTCAATGTTTTATTCACTTGGGCTTTTTTTCTTCCCCCTCATTCTTAAACTGCTTAATATTTAATCTGTTGTGAAGAATCTGATTTGCACTCTGTAGTGTTTAAAGAAACAAAGAAACTCTAATATTGAATCTCTTAAATTTAGTGTATGTAAACAGCTTACAAATATGTATTGTCTAAATGCATTTAAATCTGTTTTATTCAAAGAAAAGCTAAAGCAAAAATACTGGCATATGACCATGCAAGACTGTCAATGCCAACAAAGACAACACTAATCAGCACATCCTACACTGGATTGCAGTGCTTTCCAGATTATTTGAAAAATGTTACAGACAACTTGCCTGATTTTTAAATGAGCATAAAAGGCCCTCTAACCTATGCAGGTTTCCCCATTATACATATAGAAAATGCTAGTATGTTTTGCTCACTTCATATGTAACAGGTGCCCTTATGTTGTGCTGTATCCTGTGCTTTTTCTGTGGGACCATTCCATTCAGGAGCAAAGAGCACCATGATTCCAATCTTGTGTGTGTTTACTAACCCTTCCCTGAGGTTTGTGTATGTTGGATATTGTGGTGTTTTAGATCACTGAGTGTACAGAAGAGAGAAATTCAAACAAAATATTGCTGTTATTCAGTTTTGTTTGTGGAATTTGAAATTACTCAAGTTTAAAATAAATTACTGGACTGTGGAAAAACATAGATTTGAAGTTTTAATTAAATACCACTCAAACCAAAAGAACTTAATTAAATACCACTCAAACCAAAAGAACAGTAGTTTTTGTAGTTTTATATTGGATACTGAGGCATTACAGGGAGGCATGAAAGGAAGAGGAATGAGGATTGAGACATGTGAAGACATTATGCATTTTATCAATGTGCATTCCTGTATTTCAGTAAGGTACATGCAGTAGTCTAAAGAACCAGAGTCATTACTCTAGTGGCTTACATTTACTGTCTCCAACGTTTTAGCCAAGTGACACTTGAGGTTTTTATCTAGGCATTTCACTTAAATGAACAAATCATGGCTGTTATATTAACTTGAAATAAAATATATTTAAACATGTAGTTAACATGCGCTTTCTCATCATGAATTATAAAGGTGCCCAAATTATGGGTATCTTAAGTTGATTTTTTTTGAAAAATTGGTTGTGTGAATCCAGCTCTTGCTTATGGCTGAGAATGTTCCTAAAGTTCATTTCACTATCCCTTAATCCTCAATAGCTACACATAGCCCCTCGCCTAGTGTTGCACTGCTTTACAACTCTTAGGCAAATTACCTACCATAAGCTCCACAGAAGAGTTTTTTAAAACTTAAAATCCCTGTCCCACCAGCTGTGGTGACTCACGCCTTTATTCCCAGCACTTTGGGAGGTTGAGGCAGGCAGATTGCTTGAGGCCAGGAGTTCGAGACAAGCCTGACCAACATGGTGAAACTCCATCTCTACTAAAAATAAAATACCAGCCAGGCATGCTCTACTAAAAATAAAAAATCAGCCAGGTGTGAAGGTACACACCTGTAAGATCCCAGCTACTACTCAGGAGGCTGAGGCATGAGAATCACTTGAACCTGGGAGGCAAAGGTTGTAGTGAGCCGAGATCACATCATTGCACTCCAGCCTGGGTGACAGAACGAGACTCTTGTCTCAAAAAATAAAGAAACCTATTTAGTTTCATCCAGGACATTAAGTGAAAGTGTTTAATGTGAGTGCAGGTCAGTGAAGAATACAATGGTGCCCCTGCTTTGATATGTGGGAGGTGCCATCAGTTTTCTCCACCACTGCTTTTGTACCATCAGTGCAAATAACAGAGAAAAAAAAAGTAATAGTGTTATGAAAAGATTTTTGACTCTGTGGAGACCCCATGGGTTCTGCAGAGTATACTTTGAAGACTATAAGATTATGAGTTCTATAAAATACTAAGTACAGATGAATTAGAAAACAAGCATATATCCACAATTACCAGAATTTTCATAATGTTCCTTTTAGTAGATATGCCATCACTGATCAGTTACTTAGCCACTCCATGCCATCCTGTTGGGAATGCCACTATCTTTGAATTTGGAGCCATCAGTCTATCTGAGGCAAACCTCAGAAATTACCTGAGCCAGAATCATGCACTTAGCACTGAGTTCAACTCAGTCCTAACGTTGCATTTTGTTGCATCACTTCTGGAGCCAGTAAACATTCTGTTTAGAAATAGTTGCTATTGTGGCATCATTTACAGTTGCAATTTTTCTCCTGTGCTGTCGCATGCCTGTGCGAAGTGTATGAAATGAATCAAATATTAGAACTTTCAAGACTGTCTTTAGTGTTCTGCCCACAATATTCCACCAATGACCTTAGACCTTGAGATTGTGCTATAATGCTGCTTATATTGCAGTTAACCATAGAGAGGTACAGCCACTTAAAATGGGCCTATTATCAAAATTCTCCCTGGTATCAGTACCGTTCTTGGGGATACACTGATTTTAGAAATTACTGTCAGTATCCTCCTAAAAGAAGGCTTTAAAGAAAAATAGTTTCTAACAAGATGACTATCAGGAAGCTCTGTGGCTTGGGGAGTTGGGACCCTCTGCCTCATATTCTAGGTAACTGGTATAACAGTAATTATTAGGATTGTATCAAGTATATCTAAAGATTAAAAGGTAAAAAAGGCACCCTTAACTGTCTAGTTCTTTAAGTTCTAGGAAAAAAAAAAAACTAGCAGGGATGACAAACTACATTCACTTTACAGTTACCATAAATTCTTACTCGGGCCCACCCATTTCCATCTGTAAGGTCGATAAGGTTACTCCACACGTTTCATTGGCTTCACTGTTACAAGAAAGGGGGGAAATGAGAACCTTTAATAGGCTGTGATTTAGAACCACTGCTGATAACCTTTGGCCAGTGTAGGTCAGGGAAGGTGAATATGAAACACTGCACAGCAGGTTGTATCAATGCTATAAAACCTCAACCTTTAGACAAAAATTCAAACAGGTTATAAACCATGGGACTCCATTGAGGATGGCCGTATCTATTAATAAAGTAGGCTATCAGTCACCCAAAAAGTGACAGCAGGGGAACAAACTGCAGCTTGCCTCTAGTGGGAATACCCTTGAACCTCGACCTCCAGGGGGACATAGTCTCAGGGAAGGGCTACCAACACACAAAGGGACCTAACCATGTATAGGGGAATGCTGTTTCCTCCCTTTTAATCCAATTGTATTGACCTGTTTCTCTCATCTTAAATATTTGTTTCAGCCTCTCACTTGAACCACCAAGACCATTTAACCAACTACTCTTTTTAAGCCCAAGATGACAACTGCCAACCATAGAACATGGGAATAGGTTTTATTTTCATCTTAAGAACATTTAAATTGGGTGAAGAAATTCAGCTTTTGTTAGAATCTGACAGGCTTCAAACACCTGTGATGGAAGGGTTACTGTCATATCAAAGTCCACCTAGTAAAGTTTTAGGTGGCCAGTGACTTTGTCAATTAGGTCTGCTGGTCCTGGCCCAATCCCTAGGACAGTTTGAGAGCCTGGTGCAATCTGAGTACGTCCAGCATCTTGAATTAAACTTACAGTCAATCCCAGCATTTTCGCATGGGCCAATAATGCAATCAGGGTTTCTTCATCAGGAGCTTTGACCACCACCTTGGGCTGGCCACAGTATTCCCATTGCTTGAGCATTTCAGGATTTCTTCTTTGAATCTGCTTGTAGGCTGAAACAGCAGCATGAGAGCACTGGGCAGCCACTTTCCCTTTTCCCATCTTTAAGTCATTTCGAACCACAAGAATCATCTTGTACTCCCCACTCTCTCCCAAGATGCTTGCTTCACTTTCAGTATCTGTGTGTGTCTTGCTCGTCTTGCTTTTGGGGAGCATCCCAAAGCGTACTCGGAGGCTCCAGCCCAGACACACGCCACAAGCAACTCCAATAGCCAAGCCGAGTGCACTGGGATGAGCCAAATATTCCATAACCAAGGATTTGGAGGGCATCTTAAGGGAAAGGAAAACAGTTATCACTATCCGGCAGTAACAACTTACAGAGGTATAGGCTTATCAGAGAAACATTTTGACTATACACTTAATGAGGTCATCCAGAAAAAAAGGCAAAACACATCTTGGATCTTATGCCTGTGCCCTGTTTCCAACACCCCCTTGCCCACCACCAGTGTACTAGAAAAGATTCAAGCATCCACATGAAACAGTTTAGGTCATTTTGAAACTTGATGTAAACAAAGTTGCATAAAGTTCAAAAACTCTATTCCTCAGTCTTCCCTTAGTCTTGTGGAGATGTTCTGTTTTACCAAGATGCCTAAGATTTAAAGAAACCAAAAATAACTCACCCCTTTCCTGGAATATAGTGCTAATCTGTGTTTTCACAATGCTCTGGGTTCTCAATGGAGATGGTATCAAATAAGTTACCCTCAGAAGAACCTCACTGTCACATTAATGGGCCTGGAGTGAGATGCTGAAATTTACTAAGCCTGAGCAAGGATGCTAAAAATCTTACAAAAGGAAAAGTTGTCCCATTGGACATTAGTGCAGCTGAAAAACTTAATAGATGAGAACTCAACATCATTTTACATAAGAACACAAAATATTTTTTGCATAGTTTTACTATGTATAGGTGCTCCTCAATTTCCCATGGGGTTATAGCCCAATTAATTGAAAATATCGTAAGCCAAAAATGCATTTAATACACCTACAGAACATCATGACTTAGCCTAGCCTACCTTAAATGTGCTCAGAACACTTACATAAGCCTACAGTTGGACAAAAGTCATCTAACACAAGACTATGTTATAATAGTGTTGAATATCTCCTGTAATTTATTGAATACTGTACTGAAAGTGGAAAACAGAATGGTTGTATGGGTACTCACCATTAATGTACACAGCTGAAAGCACAGTGGTCCTGAAAAATGTCTGAAGCACTGAAATGAATTAATTGCTGGATGATGGGGATGTAATAGGGTCCTCAATTTCTCTCTCTTCTGATGAACATCGAGAATAGGTGGTAGAAGGCATTGGGACATCAACACTAGTTGACAGTTTAGCAAGCATAGTGTTGTTCTTCAGGAAGACACCAAGTTTTGACTGTACAGCTTGTTTCTTTTCATTATATATTTCTCTGTAGCAAGCAAGAGCATCCTGTATCTGCCTGTCAACTGTGGCGAATCTCTCGTAATTTGACGTCCATTTCTTCTAACATCTGTAGGCCGCTGCTGATAGCAGCAAATGCCTCTGCCAGTTTCTTTGCTGTGAACTTTCTAGGTGCCGTGGGTATAACTTCTTCCACTGCCTCAACTCCTTTACTTCTTTCTTCCTCCAGTGCAATCAGCTCCTTATTGCAAAGATCTTCAGCCACAATTATCCCATGCAGCTGTTCCTTAAAAGCTATGGCACCTTCATTACCAGCACGTGTTGCCTCACCACTGATCTTTACATTGTGAAAATTATGACGCCTTTGAAGCGCTGGAACCATCCATGACTTGCTTTAAATATTTATGTATATGTAGGATCATTGGCACGGTCTTTTAGCATATTAAAAAGACTTCTTGCCTTAGCCTGGATCATCAGTAGGCTGAGTGGTATGCGCTTCTGTACCTGGTCTTCCATCCACATAACAAGTAATTTTTCCATATCATCAATCGGTCCAGCCCTTTTCTTTGTGATGACAGTGGATTTAACTGATGCTGACGATTTCGCTGCATCACTGATTCGCTTCTTATCCTTTAAGATGGTTGAAATCGTGGATTGCGAAAGTCCTAACTCACATGCAATGGTCATTACTGGCTTGCCACCTTCATGCTGGGCAATTATCTTGAGTTTCGTTTCAAGAGTAATTGCCTTCCTCTTCTTTATCTCACCAGAAACAGGAGACACTGATGGACATTTTGTAGACATGATGGAATGTGAAAACACAAAACACAATATCCAAAAAAGCTGACAACACAGTACACAGTAGAGGATGGGTTGTTCACTCCCGTGATCACATGGGTGACTGGGAGCTGTGGCTCGCTGCCACTGCCCAGCATCACAAGAGTGTACTGTACCACATTATCACTAGGCCAGG